TAGAGATCAGCAGAGAAGCTTTGTATAAAGATCCATATCTGAGTCATTAGCATGTGAGCAGTTCAAGTCACGAGAGTAGAAAATATCTAGAAAGTGTGAATAAAGAGAAGAGAGAGAATTGAAGGAACACAAGTATTTAAGGAGCATGAATTTTTAAGCCTATGAGGAATTTAAAATTATAGCTAAGGAAGTAGAAAATAAACCAAGATGCAGTGCTGACATGGAAAAGAGAACAGAAACTTTCAAGAAAGTGGGAAGTTCAACAGTGCCAAATTCTGAAAAAATGCAAATTTAAGACCGTAAATTGTTTATTAGCTTTAGTAACACGGAGGCCAATTAGTGATCTTGACCAGAAAATATAGACAATGAACAAAGATAAATTACTTCATTTCAAGATTTACTATAAAGCTAAAGCAACCAAGACAGTGTGGTATTGGAATAATGATAGACATAGAAATGGATGAAAAAAATAGAGTTCAGCAATAGACCCCCCCTTACATGGTCAACTGATTTTCAACAAAGGAGCCAAGGCAATTCAATGAGGGAAAAGATGTTTCTTCAACAAATTGCTCTTGCACAACTGTATCTCTATATGGGGAAAAAAATGTTCCTCAATCCTTACCTCACATTGTACGTAAAGTTAACTTGAAATGAATCATAGACCCAAATATAAGAAGTAAAAACCATTCAACTTACAGAAAAAAACAAAGAAAAAATAGTTGGGAGACTGGGTTAGATAAAGATGTTTTAAACAGGCCACTGAAAACAAAAATTAATAAAATAGACATCAAAATTAAAAATGTTTTATTCTTTGAAAGACACAGTTAAAATGAAAAGATAAGCCAGACTCGGACAAAATATTTGCAAAAGACCTATCTGACAAAGGACTTTTATCCAGAAAAAATAAAGAACACTTACATTTTAATAACAAGAAGACAATCAACCCAATTTAAAAATTGGCAAAAAAAAATTTAGAATTCCACCAAAGAAGATAAATGAATGGCCAATATGCACATAAGATACTCAATGACACCAGTTTTCAGGAAAATGCAAATAAAGCCACAAGGAGATACCACTATATACCTATTAGAATGGTTAAAAGGAAGATTGACAATATTAAGCTTCAGTGATCAAGCAGCATAATTGAAACTCCCATATATTGCTGGCGGGAACACAAAATGGTTCTGCCCTTTTGGAAGAGTGTGACAGTATCTCAAAAAATTAAACATATGCTGGTCATATGAACCAGCAATCTCATTCCTAGATATTTATCCAAGAGAAGTAAAAATGTGTGTCTCTTTAAAGGCTTGTATCTGAATATTCATGGCTACACTATACACAACAACCCAAATGTGAAAACAACCCTATTTTCCATCAACTAATTCATGGGTAAAAAAATTGTGGTATATTAATACCATGTCATACTATTCTGCAATGAAAAGGGACAAAATATTAATATACAAAACATAGTTCTGTAAGGTTAGGTGGGTTCCTTGAGAGCAGAGGACTGACTGTCTTGATTTAGGATTCCCCTTGCCCAGGTTTTTATATATAAGTGCTCAACAAACACGACATTCTCCTAAAACAAAGTTAAGCTTGATTCTAAGCATTTTATATATCTTTAGCAGCATTTTCAAAAAACAAAGTTACAACTTCAGAAAACACACAAAAATTTAAAAGTATTTCAAATTTCAGTCTAATTTTACAACATGGCATAATGTAATAAATACTAGATTAATAAACCAAAATTTTATTTCCAGTCTTGAGAAAATGTCTTCACTTCTCTGGATTTGTTTTCTAAACTATAAAATGATGCCAGTGCATATGTGGGAGTGAGGTTAGATTACACATATATTAAAAAAAGGTCTGAACAGGTAAAACTCTCTATATTTGTTTTATTTTTAAAATAATAGCTTTATTGTGATATAATTCACATACCATAGAATTTATCTATTTAAATTGCACAATTCAATGGTTTTAGTATAGTCAGAGTTTTGCAACTATCACCACAATTAATTTTAGAACGTTTTCATCATCCACCTACTTCCCAAAAAACCCATCCCATTAGCAGTCATTCATCTTCTCCCTCCTCAACCTCCCCTCCTCTCCACAGCCCTTGGTAACCATGAGTCTACTTTCTGTTTCTACAGATTTTCGATTTGCCTATTTGGGACGTTTCATATAAATTGAATCATACAATATGTGCTCTTTTGTGACTGGCCTCTTTCACTTAGCATTTAGCACCTAGTTTTCAAGGTTCATCATGGTGTAACACATATCAGTACTTCATTTCTTTTTATTGCCAATGTCCCATTGTATTGATATACCACATTTTGTTTACCCATTCATCAGTATGGATATTTGGGTTGTTTCCATCTCTGGGCTATTATGAATAATGCTGCCATGGACACTTGTGTACAAGTTTTTGTGTGAATGTATGTCTTCATTTCTCTTGGGTATATACCTGGAAGTGGATTTGCTGGATCATATATTAACTATGTTTAACCTTTTGAGGAACCACCAGAGTTTTTTCAAAGTGGCTGCCCCATTTTACATTCCTACCAGCAGGTTATAAGGGTTCTAATTTCTCCACATTCTCACCAACACTTGTTATTGTTTGCTTTTTTGATTCTAGCCATCCTATTGGGTATAAGGTGGTATTTCATTGTGGTTTTGATTTGCATTTTTCTGATGACTAATGATGTTGAGAATTTTTTCATGTGCTTATTGGCTATTTGTTTATCTTCTTTGGAGAAATGTCTATCCAGATACTTCATGCATTCTTATTTTTTTTATTATTGAGTTGTAAGAGTTCTTTATACAAGACCCTCTAGATATAAGTCCTTTAACACAATTATGATTTGCAAATATTTTCTGCCATTTTATGGGTTGTCTCTTCATTTTCTTGGTGGTGTTCTCTGAAACACAAAAGTTTTAGTTTTCATGAAGTCTAATTGATCTATTTTTTTTTCTTATTGCCTGTGCTTTTGGCATCATATCTAAGAAACCCTTGCCTAATACAAAGTCACAAAGATTTATGTCTATGTTTTCTTCTAAGAGTTTTATAGTTTAGCTGACATTTAGGTCTTTGATCCATTTTGAGTTATTTTTTGTATATTGTATGAGGTAGGGTTCAAACTTCATCGTTTTGCATGTGGATATCCAGTTGTATTAGTAGCATTTGCTGAAAGGCTATTGTTTCCCCATTGAATTGTCTTGGCACGCTGGTTGAAAATCAATTGAATATAAACGTGAGGGCATATTTCTGGACTCTCAATTCTATTCCATCAGTCTATATGTCTATCTTTATGCTATTACAACACACTCTTCATTACTGTAGCTTTGTAGTAAGTTTTGAAATCAAAATCAGAAAGTGAGTCCTCCCATTTTATTTATTTATTTATTTATTTTGAGGAAGATCAGCCCTGTGCTAACATCTACCAATCCTCCTCTTTTTGCTGAGGAAGACTGGCCCTGGGCTAACATCCATGCCCATCTTCCTCTACTTTACATGGGACGCTGCCACAGTATGGCTTGACAAGCAGTGCGTCAGCGTGCACCTGGGATCTGAACCTACAACGCCCGGGCCACCGAAGCAGAACACATGCACTTAACCACTTCGCCACCAGGCCAGCCCCACCCGTTTCTTTTTTTCAAGATTGTTTTGCCTATTTGTGTCTCTTAAATTTCCATATGAATTTGAGAATCAGCTTGTCGGTTTCTACAAAGAAATCAGCTGGCATTGACAGGGACTGCACTGAATCTGTAGATCATTTTGGAGAATATTGCCATCTTAATATCAAGTCTTCTGATCCATGAACATGGGATGTCTTTCCATTCATTTAGGTTTTCTTTCTTTTTCTCAACAATATTTTGTAGTTTCAGAGTATAAGTTTTGCATTTTTTGTTAAATTTATTCCAAAGTATTTTATTTTTTCTGATGCTGTTGTAAACAGAATTGTTTTCTTAATGTCATTAAGTATTATTCACTACAGGTGTATAGAAATACAATCGACATTTGTATATTGATCATGTATCCTGCAACGTGCTGAACTCATTTATCAGTTTTAGCTGGATTCCTTAGAATTTTGTATACACAAGATCTTGTCATCTGCAAATAGAGAGTTTTACTTTTTTCTTTACAAGCTAGTTGCCTCTAGGATTTTTGAGTGCTAAATAAATTAATGCACAACTTAATATTTGGAGGTATTGAAGTCAATATTGTAGATTCATTTTTAAAACAAGAGTAAAGCAAAGAAAAAAGTGCTATAGGAGAGAAAGAAAACAGAAAAAAAAACAATGAATTGGGAGGGAAGAAATCTGGTTCCCACACCAATATTCATTAGCTGTGTGATCCTAAGAAAGTTTCTAATCCTCTTCTGGTTGTACATTCTATTTTCCAAACCTTTTTCCATTTGGCATACCTGTGAATTTCTGGGGATATGTAAGGAGTAACTTTCCTCAGTTTATTCAGCCATTTACAACCATAAGTTTTGCTCCATATATTGATCATCTTCTCCTTTTCCATTTTTGCTCCTCACAAAAGAGAATAAGGTTACCAAAACTGGAAGAGCACACTAGAAATATCTTCACATTGAGAGAAAACACAACTCTCAGGAAAGGCACAATAGAAGACACTGTGAGAATGAAGTCAACTATAAAGAAGTATCCTCTTGGGAACAAGCTGGAATATAAATAAACATTTCAGAGGCCTGTGTAAGAAATGAGTAAAAATGAGCAAATGAATGAAGCATTTACTCTGTCTGGTACTGTCCTAACATTTAAAAGCTATAACTAAAAAATAATCAACAAAAATATAAAAAAGGGGAAAAGTATGTTTTAAAAATATACATTATCTGAAATTGTCATCACAAAGACCATCTTTTAAAACCAAAGTTTTAGGTATCATTTTTTATTACAATTTTGATTAAAATGGCAAAAGTCTCATGACATATAGAATCAAATTACATTTTTCTACCAAACATTAACTAGATACATTCCTTCTGCCTCTGTCAATGCTGATGGTGCTAGAATACTAACTTATATTTAAATATTTTAAATTTCATTTCAAGTGTTTTGGAACCTCAGTTTTAATCTCTGACGTAAAGGAAGAGGACTATCCAAAGAAGCACCAGAATCTTCTTTTTCCTTATGACACTGTAGAAAATTCAGAGAATCTTTTGCTGCAATTGGGAAACAGTTTTCTTCATTTCTAGCTGTTTTATAAGCCTGGACACACTGTTCAGGTTCTTTAATATGTATCTTAGAGTTAGTCAACTTGCTGACATCATTTTTCTTGAATTGGGCTGGGTTATGCTTCTGAGAATTCCACTTCATTTTCTGAGTTGCATACTTAGCTTTCCCAAACACTGGGACACTTTCTTCATCAGAGGAATGTCTGTCAAGGCAAATGCTTTTCTTCATCACAATTTTCTGAGTAGTTTGCACATCAACTTTTCTACTATGATCTAAGGCAGTATTTGGTGGTCTAACTCTAACATTGGAGGTCTTTACTATTGGATTATTGACAGAATAAGGTATAGAACTACTCACTTTATAGTTTTCTTGAAACAGCTGGTCTCCTTTTAGAACTTTAGAGTTTCTAGATTCATTTTGCAAATGAATTCCTAGAATATCCTTTGAAAGATGTGATGGACAATCAGAACTACTGTTAGCAATACAATGTTCTTTTATGGTAAGGAGGGATAAAGATTTTAGGTCAATATCTGGTTGTACATTCTCCTGAGGATATGATGATTTTACACGTATTCGTTCCTTTAAAGGCAAATCCTGAAGATGTAAATCAGTAATGCCAGAAAGCAGATGCTCTTCAGGATTAGACTTTCGAAGATCCCAGTCCAACACTTTATTGATGTTTGTGGTGTACCATTCTGATTCACATGGCAATTGTTCTGGGATATTTCTAAAGCTATCAGGGATGGCTGTTTCAAGTTCTGATTTTAAACCACGAGAGAAAGTATTCCTTGGAATAGCTGGAGAATTACTAAAAGAAGTACTCTCCCAGTCAATGCTGCTCAAGTGTAGATCAGCAATCGCCGATACATTATGAGATGAGGTATTGGGTTGACTAGATTCTGAAATTAAAGACTTACTGACAGTTTTAATTTGCTGCATAGCCAAAGGTCTTGGAGCAGACACTAACTGCTCTTGTGTATTCAAACAAAGAGCATCTTCAGGTAAAAGCAAGCTATTCAATGACGCAGAAATAGATTCCTGGGGTAATTTGGAATCAGGGGAAACTTCCAAATGTAACTTGGAATTCTGCTTAGAAGAGATTTCACATGTGGGTTTTAAAGTCATTTGTGACTGAAAACTCATCATATCATCTGATTCTGGAAAATTGTTTTCTTTAGGCTTAATTTTCATGCCTGAAAAGAGAAAAAAAAAATACAATTAAAATCTATTTTATTTTCCTTAATTTGAGTAAACAACTAAAGAGTTCGGACTGGAAATCTTCTATATAATCAATTTTTGCCTTTTTTGTCTCAGTGCATTCCTGGAAACTGTGTTATAAAGCAAAATATTTAAAATATTTTCTTTTCGAAACAGTGTTATAATTGAATTGTTTTCCTCACTGAGTTCTGGGAAATAAAGAAAGTGTATTTTAATCCAAAATTTACACATACCAGTTGCTCAATAAGTGGTTAGTATAATTACTATTATTAATACTTGCTTAAGTTAGCAAACACAGAGCAGAATGGTTTACTCTTGGATTTTCAGCTTTAAAAGAAAGTATGTCAAGACAAAAAGCATGAGTAGAATCCTTATTCTTGATTTTATAGAACTTTCAGCAAAATTTAGACAAGATAGATTCAAATAGAACCGGTGGCTCTTCTATAACATTTGTCTGTGGCATAAATAGCTATGAAATGCAATACTTACTTTGTTGTTTCTTCCCTTTAATTTCTAACTTTTGTTTTTGGTAAATAGCAACAATCTCGGGATAAGCTGCCTCAAACAATGATTCTTCTTCTATTGTTCGCAGAACCAGTTCTCCACATTTATCTTCTATAGCATAATGTTCTAAAAGATTAAAATATAGTAACATAGCCTTAATTGTAGATTTTAAAAATTCAATTTTTCCAGGTAACTAAGTTTACCAGGTAAACTAAGTCATCCACAAATGAATAATTCATTGCAAATCTTGCTTTACAACATCTCTATTCTAATCATCTGTTGATACTAGTATAGAATTGATTTTATTCTGCCTGGCAAAAGCTGGAAGGAGATTCCCTTTAAATTAGAACTTTAAATTCTCTTGCTTCAGAGATGGTAGGAGTAGCTTAAATAAAGTTGACTTTAATTTAGTAGAATAAGTGTTAAAATTCCAGATAAAGAACGGGAACAGAGAGTTTCCTAAAACTTCAGCATTAACTTTGCTTAGTGGTGGCTTCTGAAAAGAACAGAATTGAAAGGGTCATCAAAAATATTACATCTTCCAGACTGTTGTTTCAGAGGTTATCAATCTCTTGATTATACACCCAGGCCTACTGGACTCACAAGCATCTGATAAATGAAAATGAGAATGCTTACATGTAAATTGACAATAAGATATATAAATAGTAGACTAGATTCTTGTATTTATCCTATATGAGGGCAAAATTGACTTTGAGAAGTCAAATTATAATAAAAATATTAGTTGATGAGTTTAAAGTAGAAACAACGGAAACAGATGAACTTAAAGTGTTTTTAGTCAAACTAGCTTGGGGTACATTTTCTCCCTCAAGAGATAGCTCCCAAAAGGATAAGTGAAAGTGGGTACCTAATCCTCAGTTCCAGATAGAGGAGATGCACTGCCAGACTGGGTTAGTGCCATTTTCTTTCCCGAAAATATTCTACAGTTGGTGGAATTGTTCCTAAACAGTTTTCAAAATTCTTCAGCCTTCTATTTTCCTATTATTGCTTAGAATGGGTTATCTAATATTTTATAGTTTCATTCTTCAAAGTTGCCTACAGTTGAAATTTTGATTGAACAGATCTACTCTCTCACTCGTTCAAATATAATTACACAATCTAATTTCGAAGCCAACTGGAAATGAATTTGGGATTATTTTCCATTTTAAATGATCTGTGTTTTCCTTGTCTTCAGTTTTGGGAACTAATTCCGAGTTCACTGTATTTCTGTTTGTAGCAAAATAAGAGTAATTTGACAACTATAAATTCCCATGAAAACTAAACAGAGTAAAGAAAGGGGAGGAAGAGAACCCCAGGTGCTATTCAGCGACCTTGATTTCTTAGACCCAGCTATACAGTGCAATTCAATGACCAGACCATTTGTAGCAGCATTTTCTTGAGAAATATAAATCAAAACTATTTCCATATTATTTTCTTGACATTAATTACAAAAGAAATACCAATTTAAGGATGAAAATAAAATTAAGCTTTTCATATTTACTATTAGTGAAAACCTATTTAAATAACAGGTAAACTACAGAAATAATGTGCATGTGATAGGTTTATTTCTTATATACATACATATGTTTTACATATCTATATGACATTCGCTAAACATATATGGTCGAATGTTATAAATTTTGCTTAAAGTGTACATACCAGGCTTTTCCCATTCTATTTCAAAGCAATGAACTCCATTTTTGATTCGGTTTTTAACAATTCTGAAAAATAAATTCATCTAATGAGGTCCAATTGCATGAGTTATTTGGAAATTTTCAATTTGTAGATTGAATAATTCAATTTCCATTGATTTTTATTCTATTTTTATAATGCTCTAAAATATTATAAGGAATTAATGCATAGTTATTCCTTTGATTAGTTTATTCAAAAGATAATTTTATTGTTAGGTGCAGAGTTTATAACTGTTAGATCCTATCAGTAGATCGTTGCTTTACTTTTCAGTGTTCCTCTTTTCCACAATAATTTTTGTTTTAACGTCTATTTTGTTTCCGTTAATTTTGCTACATCACTTTGGTAAACATTTGCCCTTTAAATCTCTTTATTTTCAAACTTTGTAGAGTTTTATTCTGTATATGCCTTACAAGCAGAATATTGCTGAATTTTGTTTACTCATCCAATACAATGTCCTTTAACAGACGGGTTTAATCCACTTATTGTGGTTACTGATATAGTTGGACCCATTCATACATCTTACTTTGTGTTTTCTGCTATCAAGCTTTTTCTTTGCTACTTCCCTTTCCTCCTTCCTGTATTCTTTTTGTCTGATAGTTTTACTTTCCTATTTAAGTATTGGTTTAGAAGATAGAGATTGTATTTCTAATGTTTTACTGGTTACCCTCAAATGTTTACATGCATATTTTGGGAGTTTTAATATTATCATCATATATTAATCATCAAGCATTATGCAGATATGCATATGTTTTTCCAGTCAGTTTATTAAATGAGCTAAATATGTTGTATCAATTTCTATGCTGATCATTGTTTCTTGTTATCCACATCTTCCCTCTCAGTTCATTTTTCTTCTTGCTGAAGGACATCCTTTAATAGTGCTTTTAATGAGGGTCTGTGAGTGGTAAACTCTTAGTTTTCATATGTCTGCAAAATGCCTCACCAATCGTGAACAATGTTTTAATGATGTCTAGGCTGCCAATTATTTTCACTCAAAGCTTTAAAATACTACTCCATTATCTTCTGGCATCTATTACTGTCATGAAAGATGTGCACTACTAGATTGCCATTCCTTTGTAGTTTAAATCTTTTCTCCTTGATACTTCCTCCCAAACTTTTAATTTTGAAAATTTTCAAACTTTTAGAAAAACTGCAGGTGTAGTACAATGAATACTTATACACCCTTCACTGAGATTCATCAATTCTCAGTTTCAGTCCCTCCATTCACTTTACATTTTTGTTCCCTTTCTGGTCCATTGAAATAGTTATCTGACTAAGCCTGGCTATATCTTTTTATATTTATTTCTTTTAATCACCCATTATTACCACATGTTTGAAGCAGAAAAGTGGGTCAAAGCACAAACTTACTATGTTATCTTGACTGTAAGCCCTGAATAAGCTTTTAATATTCCAGTAGATCCTTCCTCCACCTTTATAAAACAAAGAGCTATACATCCTATTATGAAAGATATTAAGAAGAATATTTTAGATCATAAGATATTCAAATGGAAACAAGAGACTTCTTCATACAGTTCTTTATATTACCGAATTGGCTGTAATTGATCAGAGTTCCTTCTGCCAAGCTTTCTTTCTATCATGTCATAGTGGGTCAAAAGCACCAACAATTTCTCACATGCATAGTCATAGGGCCAATCCATTTTTTCAAGAGTAAATCTCTGTAAATTTAATAAAAATAAAATAAGATTTTATTATTTCTTGGAGACAAACAGTACTTTCAAGTGATACTATTTTTTCCTTCAGAATTAACATTAGTTAAAGTAGTATCAATGAGAATATTCTCAGAAAGGACAATGAGTCTCCTAAGGAGGCAATACCCCATAATGTTTAAATGTGAGGGTTCTTGATTTGAATGCCATTATGATATTTCCTAGATGTTGGGTCAATTACTCAACCTCTCTTAGCCTCAGGTTTTCCATCTGTAAAATATAACCTAGCTCACAGATTATGAACATTAAGTGAGATTTCATGTAATGTGTTAAATATAATAGCAAATTTTAAACGTTCGATAAATGTTGGTTGCCATTGTTGTTACTGTTGTTGATAGGGGTAAGCAACAAGCAGTTATAATTTATTGAGCCACTCCATTTCCCTAGCCACTATATTAGGGGTTAATGTAAATAATATAACTTAATTCTCATAGTGACTGCATGAGATAAGTAATATTATTTCTATTTTGAGGATAACACATATGCAGGGTCACATCATAAGTGACAGATGGTCCAAATTTAAATTTAGGTCACTGATTACAAATCCCAATGCCCTTGTAAACTATACTGCCTACCACAACAATATATTGACATTCTCTGGTTATTAGCCCCTTTCCCCCAACATATCCCTGAATACAACGTATCTGCACATGGTATTTAAGTACAGCTGTACTTCTGAAGTATAGCACAATTATGGTTTGTCTTATGGTCTGCAATATGGTTACTGTGTGGCAGAGGAATGAAGATTAGAAATAAATGCTGAAAAATATATGGGCAGTCAATAGTCATCTATTTTAAACCTCCTCTCAGACCAATCAAAGTGATTATCTTTTCTTCTTGTCCTAGTATCCAACTTCATACCATAAAGTAAGAATTATTTTCAGATACCTGAAACAATAATAAATCAGGTCTTTGGTACCTGATTGCCTTCACCAATTTATCCTTGTTCAAAAGGAATTCTTGAATAACCTAGCAAGAGAAAAGAAAATAGCAACTGAGACTTCAAACTTTTAAAGAAGCTTCTGAAATAAACACATAGTTGAAATATTACTTATTACCTCATGGAATGGGAATCCTTCACAACTGCAAGCTTTTCTGAAAATAAATTACATACATGTTATTAACACAATCTGGCAATTTTAGACAGACTCTGAAATCATCTCGTCCAATCTCTTTCCATTTAATGAAAAATATCCCTGTATAGTACCCCTGTCATTAAGCTTCTCTTTGAATAACTATTAAATTACTCTCTTCTGAGATAGCCTAATTTTTGCACAGAATAAAGAAAAGGATTTTGTGAAACATTACTAATCCAGACTCGGGGGACGGTTATGTGGAAATACTTCAACCACAGGTGCACAAATAGGTCATGCCAGAAAAAAATGAGTTAAAAAAAAAACCTTACTTCTTAATACTGTTCTCCACTGCATTCAGTTGCCTATCAGGTTCTGTATGGTGCCACTCACAAGGACAACAGTATTCAGAATCATGTGGTTCACAGTATCGATCAGTTTTACACAATTTGCATCCATTATGTTCATGATCCTTAGGTGAACCTTTATGGAGACACAAAAAAGTATGATTTTCACTGCTTTTTAGAATTACCTTCTACATACATTTTTATGTTTTTGCCCTTATCCAAACTTTCAAAAACAAATACTGCCTAGCACAGTGCCTAGCAAATAGAAAGGTTTCACTACATTTAGGTCGAATAGAGTAATGAACACTATTGTAATTCTTAGGATAAAGTAGATCTCGAGCTATTACTATCACATGACACTACATTTTTTTGTAAATTACTCTTCTATCTGAAAGTGTTAATTTTTAACTTGAAATTATACATTTATAATAATCAACAATGGAAAACTTTGTAGTTTTTGTGGTAGCTACATGCAAAGAAAGTAGGATACTATTAGTATTAAAAAAAGATTACTTACTTAATAGAATAATTCATGAAATGTTTTCTTTAATGAGAATACTAAAATATATCAGTTAACTACCTCTGCTAGTGGCTAGCTCTCAGTTACCTGTACAGCTATTTTTAAACTATGCTTGGAACATGAACAAATTATGACTGTGGCATGAGTGTGGGGCCCTAGTTCCCTTTAAAAAGAAAGCAAGACCACCTTCAACATTGTTTTGAGAAAATGGAAGAACATACATAATTGATTGATAAATTACCTAAAATTGTCTTATTTTATAAGGTATCAAAAAACTATGGAAGGCATCCTATCTATAAAAACATTTATTCCTTCCACGATTTCATCTATAATTTAACAATGTTAATAAAAACATTAAGACAAATAGATACAGAAGAATTTCTTTTAAAAGATGAGCTAACATGATCTCTTAATCTCTCCTGAGAGCAAAAAGTCTTTCTGACCCAGTACATGTCAGTGACATCATTTTTTCACCAAGACTAATGAAGAGGATCCAAGCTCTTTTCAATAATAATGAACATCTATTAGAGATTAGTTTTAAGTCACTATCTTCACATATGATAAAAACACTCTATAGGACAATTAAGAAGCATTTAAGTATATAAATATAAATAACTGATATAAAAACAAATGGTTTCAGCTCCCTTCTCCCCCAAGACTTATCAGTACAATATTTTTTTCTTAAAATGAATTTCTATATTGTAAACATAATTTTAAGATCTAAGTAATTTGGTATCACAGTTTGAAACTGCATTTATCCTATATTTATCATTTACATCACATTATTTCATTCAATAAACATTTACTGAGTCCCTACTATGTGTATGTGACACAATTCCTGACTGAGATTCCCAATCCAGCGAGGAAGATAATTGTGTACAAAGTACTACAAGAACAGGGATGAAAACATTGGTATCAGACACTAATATTCTAGAGATGTCTTTCCCTATGTCTACTTACCAGGATGGGAACACACAGAGCAATGAGCCAGTTTTTTAATGACTAGTGGTTGTGGATTAGAGTAACAAGATTTTTCATTCCACTGATTAAACCTTTAAAAGAAAATGGTTTAAAAAAAATAAAATAGCAAGGTTACCAAAATGCCATGTTCTCAAATGTCTGGCTATACTGTTCCCTTCCACCTCCCTAATTATTGTTCCTTTGGTGGTAGAAAAAGTTGCTGGCCGAGCCTGGGAAAACCCTCAGTCTATGTACCACAATTTCTAAATGTGGCCACAAGGACGGCAGAACGGCAACAGTGGGGAGCAAAAAAAAGAGAGAGAGACAAAGAGGGGAAAGTGTGTGGATGTGGTTGTGTGTGTATTCAAATACTCATTCAGCCTTTCTTTTTTTTAAATCTTAAGTGAGGCAGCAATATGTGGGGAGAATGATTTGTATGTATCTATTTTTTATCTCCTTTCTGTATGCAAGAGTATGAAACAAACAGAATCCAGTACAAGAAAATTTATCTCTATTGGAAATTAGGGTGAAGGGTAAAGTATAACACTAAATAAAACCTTAAGCTTCTGAGTAAAAACTTTTTAAAAAAATATAGATCATTTGAAATTATCATTTTTTAAATCTCTGCGCAAACAGTGAAAACATTACCTGTTTAATGAAAGATTTTAAGAAAAATGTACATTACTGCTAAGATTTCTACTAAATAAAAGTTAATTTTATTTTTGGTTAAAGTTCTAGGTCAACATAAAACCACCAAGAGAATAGTTAAATATTTATCATAAGACGTAAGTATTCTGAATTGTGTTCCTCCACTTACAGAAGTTAAAGTTTTACTGAAAAGCTAAGTTATTTCTTCAGCTCATTGTGTAGTATCTGGTACTAAGAGTTATTATTTAGCTTTTGGAATTTCTAACTCATTTACTACAAAGACCAAGTACAAGCTTGCTAAAAATTGGCACTAATTGCTGCCGGTAAAATAATAAGTAGAACTTCAAAAATTAAAAACAACTAGGGGAAAAGTCAGTCTAAATTGATCAAAATTAGAATGACAGAAAATTATAACAGGAAATGTAATTTCATTATTTTCAAGTGTTATGACAAACATTTAATAAAATGTTGCCAAAAGTACAAATTTGCTGAAACTGTTTCAGTAAGAATGATTTGTAGTTAGCCAAGTACAGACTTTCGCTTGCTTTTCCTTCCTTACATTATTCTTCACAATTCCCAAATGATTCCTTAACTCACTCCCATGCCAAAGTAGACCTTTTTTCCCTGCTTTGGCACAGCAATCACTGATATCAATAATGGATTTACTGAAGTCTTAGATCTATCAACAGCTTTACAGCTGAAAGAGAAGCATTGTAAGAAAGAGCGCAGTGATTTGAAATTTTTTTCATGGTCATTCCTTCTTGATTTCTACAAGTTAACGTTTCCTTTCGTGCATTCACCATCTCAAACCTACTGGAGGCCAAGACTGTTTTAAGTCTCCCAGTGTCCCAGTTCCTTTCTTTCTTATTCACTCTACACTTTATCATCATTAATATTAATTTTCATAAACCATTGATTTCAATTAAGTAAATATAATTCACATGCTTTCAAAACCAAATAGCATAGTTTATAAACGTCAATATATTCTGCACCTTAATAGTTTTGAATCATCAAATTGCATGGCCTAAATTAATTAGAATTAATGTATTAGTAAATGTGTGGCTATAGAACAAAGGGCCGTAGAGTAAAAATTTTGATCAAATGTTACTTATTAAATATTTGCAACATGTCAGGCATTTCATTTATAGAAAATAAATACAATATAAAAGTATTTTATATCAAAAATAATTTTAAATATAAAATTATTTTAATCTTATGTTTATCTCCACTTGGTAGTAAAATAGTCTAAAATAGTCTGTGGCAAATGCTCATGGTTATAAATAAATGCCTTTGACATCTTACTACTTGTGTTTGTAGTGACCTAAAAATATTGAAAAACATACAGAATGGCTTAGGACGTATATGCTCATCCTTTCTTTGCAAAAGTTTAGAATAACTAAAAATAAGTGATTTTAAATGAAAATATAGATCAGCTTAAAAACACAAAACCTTTTTTGGGAAAGCACAATACTTTTTGTGATATTAGCTATTAAGTTCAACAAGAATAAAAGTCCAGTGTCACAAGAAAAAGTAATTTTTAGTTACCTTTGAAGTAAACTTTGCCCTTTCAAAATCTGTATTAGTTTTAAAGCTTGCTCTTTTCCAACTCCAGGGACTCCCTTTCAGAAAGTGGGAAAAGAAATTCAAATGTTACTCACTAGGGAATGGATAAATAAAGTACAGCAGGACCATTTAATGGAAGATTGCGCAACTGAGAGAACGAAGTAACTCTGTGTAATTATGAGAAAAGATGTGCAAGATACACTGCTGTGCGTAAAATGAAAATTGCAGAATAGTGTATGGTATGATCTAGATTTGTAAGTTAAATAACAATTATATTGTTAATCTGTGCAAACAAAAAAGTCAGAGGGTTGTATACCAAACTACTGATGGTATTTATTTTAGGGGAGAGGGGAAAAGATTTTTAGAGGGGTTTCAGTTTCTATGTTCATTATTTTGATAATATTTTAATTTGACCTAAATTTATGTTATATTTTTAATCAAGAAAAAGCATGTTTATTTAGTTATATGACCATTTAATATGTAAAGACCCAGATGTCAAATGAGAAGAAAGGAGTTTCAACTATTGAAATTAATAACTTAAGAAAATTAAAAAATTGTTAAGTTTCCAACACACAAAAAAATATACAAATAAATGTGTGTTCACATGACAATTTCTGGTTTAAATTGAGTCTTCCAGTTCCTATAAAAGTTTATGAATATGTCCTTTACAAGCAAGGCTGCTATTTAGTCAATATGCACCAGGACAGACACACCAGTGTTAAAATGCTTCCAAACTGGTTAGCAAATAGCCACTGCCCAAGCATCCTGAGTGTCTGTTGGCAAAGGGGTCTCCCCTCTAACCTGAATCCTCTTCCCAAGCCACCTATACCCAGGATCCAGAGCACGTGGCACACAGAGGGCATCCAGAAGCCTGTTCCATCTCTATAGCCTATGTCTTTGGCATACCAATTGTTAGATATTTTGTATATCACCCTTCTTGTAGTAGCATTAAGCTACATCTTAAATTTTTTTTTTTTTTTTTTTTTTTTTGGGGGGAAGATCAGCCCTGAGCTAACATCCATGCTAATCCTCCTCTTTTTGCTGAGGAAGACCAGCTCTGAGCTAACATCTATTGCCAATCCTCCTCCTTTTTTCTCCCCAAAGCCCCAGTAGATAGTTGTATGTCATAGTTGCACATCCTTCTAGTTGCTGTATGTGGGACGTGGCCTCAGCACGGCCGGAGAAGTGGTGAGTCGGTGCGCGCCCGGGATCCGAACCCGGGCCACCAGTAGCGGAGCGCGCGCACTTAACCGCTAAGCCACGGGGCTGGCCCCATCTTAAATTTTTTGAAGGCAAACCATGTTAGTACATAGTCTTAAAAATCTTTAAGTAGAACAATATAAATAGATAGCAGTTTTGGTTACAGAGGATACAAAAGTTCAAAATAGCTAAGGGTAATGCATAATGCAACACCACTGTAGCTAAAGTTGGTTTCTGTGAGTTCAAGTTTGCAAATTTTTTCTTACATTCAACATTGGGCTATTTCTAGATTTTAATTATGATATAATTACATATGGGATACAGGAATCTATTTCGGAATGAGAATTACAATACAGTAATAGCGTAGTCTCCCCTTATCCACAGGAGATACATCCCAAGACTTCCAGTGGATGCTTGAAACCATGGATAGTACTGAACTCTATATATACTATGTTTTTTGTCTCATTCATATATACCTATGATAAAGTTTAATTTATAAATTAGGCACAGTAAGAGATTAACAACAATAACCAATAATAAAATAGAACAATTACAATATACTGTAATAAAAGTTACCATAGATCTTAGCAACCTCAGCATATGATTTTCTTTTCTTTCCTTATTAAGTTAAGAACTTCCACCTTTTCACTTAAAGCAAGCACTTGATGGCTTCTCTTGGGCATATCTGAATTGCCAGCATCACTACTCTTGCACCTTGGGGCCATTATCAGGTAAAATAAGGGTTACTTGAACCCAAGCACTGCGATACTGCTACAGTCGATCTAATATGCAAGACAGCTACTAAGTGACTAATGGGGCAGGTAGCGTACACAGCATGGATACGCTGGACAAAAGGATGATTCATGTCCTGGGTGGGATGGAGCAGGACGGCTGAGCTTTTATCATACTATTCAGAATGAGACACAATTTAAAAATTATGAATTGTTTATTTCTGGAATTTTCCTTTTAATATTTTTGAACTGTAGTTGACCAGGGGTAACTGAAACCAAGGAGAGTGAAACCACAGATAACGGGGGACTACTGTCAAATAATTATTTTTTCTGTTATTTAAAAGTTTCTTTTCTCCTGCTTCCTTTTCTTACTAGTTAAAAAAAATTGTTGATTTCTCTATTTGGTCACTGATACATAAATTAGAAACTAGGGTTAATAATTTTACTATTCTGCTATTTCTTCCTCTCTCAAGCTCCAGTGAAAAACATTGTATGTCACTCTTTTTTAGACCTCTCTTGAGGATAGAGTATGTAGTATGACGAAGGATTTATTAAGGACACAAAGATGATCAGTAGGGGCATAAAGATGGGACTACACAGTAAGAACTACAATACAAGTCATTTTACAGTTTTAAATATCATATTTAAGAATCAGGTTATCCTCATAATTCTTAATTCATCACTCACCTATTATACCTATTTTTTACAGAGTACTATATTGTGCATCTTAAGATATAAAAAAGATGTTTTTATGAACAAAATTCAATACAATGCTAAGAGGCATGGAAGGATGAATGGCTTACTCCAATAATCATGTTGCCTAGCAACAGTAATAATAACATTCAGCATGTGCACAACTAGAAAGATACAATGGAGATTAAAAACCAAAAAACAGACAAAACAGTGACAGAAACTAACGTTGGCAGGACACAAGAAAAGAGTAATTCCTGTATTTCTTTAAAAGGGTAGTCAAACTTGAATGTGAATCCCTTAATCTAGAGAAATGGTTTACTGTGATTCAAACTGTGGTACCAGTTATTCTTCTATTCTCGCTTACAACATTCAGTGTCACAATGAGTCAGCTTTTTAACGCCACTTGAAATGCTGATTATTTTAGTAATTGGATAGTTTATTATGCCTAAAATTATAATCTAAATTAGATTCTTAATCATATAACCATTTTATATTCATATTTATGCAGCATGTAAGGTATCAAAAAAGATACACTATGAATAGTAAATAAATACGACAATTTCCGTGTACCTTTGGAAGATAATCACAGCCAAGTAGTATTGCTAGTCCAACCAGAGCATCTCTATCTAAACCTAGTTTACTCTTGATAGATGACATTGTATAACAGTCAACATGTGGGTCCTAGAAGAAAGTACAGATTTAGTTTAATCTTCAAAGAGTAAACATTTACATGTTAAACAACATTACAAAAAATAATTTGTTAAGGTTGTCTCTAAATGTTTAATTATTCCTAAAAGTTAAAAAGGAAAATTATCCTGATCAGCTGAATCTTCACAGAATATAACACTTCAATATCTAGAAATAAAGTTATAGTTTCAAAAATGGCTTAAAAAATAAACTGTAGTAGTCAATTTTTCCCTCTTTACTGTTTTTTGGTGTCTACAAAGGTAGATTTTCATCTTACAAAATTAAACACTGTAAGATGTTTCTTATAGAAAGTAAACATTCCCTGTAATCGCATCATCTAAAGTTAACTATTAATAATGGCGAGGTGCATATTCTTCCAAAAAATATTTTCTTTGACACATATATACAAATATTTATGATTAACTATATTTTTAAGGAAAAATAGCATTATATCAAAGTTATTATTTTGCAACATTTTTTGCCCATTAATATATCTGAATATCTTTAATGTCAATAATACATACCTTTCTAATGTCTGCTTACTATTATATTATATGGACTCTGAGGCAGTGTTTCGCTATGGGGACATTATTAGCATTTTTGGAGAGATAACAGAATTGTCTTGCAAAAGATTTAACTTTCCTGGCTCTAATCCACCAGATGTCTATTGTCTCCCTTGCCCAACCTTGAAGAGTTACAACCAAAATGTCCCCTGGTAGTACCCACAGAGCTGAGAACCATGGCTGTATTTAACCATTCCCTATCAATGGGAATTTGAGTTGTTTGCCAAACTTTTGTAATTACTAACAATGCTGCAATTAACACCCTTGTATATCTCTCCTTGCACGTTTTGAGGTGTTTTGGAGGGTAAAATTATTAAAAGTAGAAATTTTGGGTGAAAGCAATACATTTCCTACTCAATTTTTAATATATTATTGAAACTGATTTAGAATTAAATCATGTGAAACAAGTCAAGCCTTAGGAGAGAAATCCACATTTCAAAGAGAATGAACTATGCGGCAATGATATTTTTAATAACAGTAAATGTTTTATTCAGCAATTGCTATAGGCTAGGCATTACAGTAAACATTTTACATGTATTATTTCATTTAATCATTTAATAATCCCTTTAAAAAAGGTAGTTTGTAAAACAAGTGCTGAAAAAGAGAAAGAAAACGTACCTTGGTATTCATAGTGAAATTCCTGTAAACAGTCTGGGCCCCATAAAGGAAAGCATCCCCATCATTGGTGAGGCAGCCGTGGACATGGCCATTGGCGTTGAGGTAAGCACACATGGCCTCAGCTTCCCCAGCAGCCTGGACCCAGGGAATCCCTAAGCATTCCAGCATATCAAGGCACTAAAAAGAGCAAGTAGGTGCAAGAAATCTAAGAACATTTTTATTGCTATTTGTTTAGTGTTTAACTTACATCTATATAAAAAAATATTAATAGTAGCTATTTAGGTGTTTTATAAATTATGATATTTAAGAAACAATTGGAAATTTGAACACTGAATACTTCATGGCATTAAGGAATGATTGCTAAATTTTTAGGTGTGATAAAAATTGTATTGTGGTTACGTTTTTATTTATTTTTTAAGACTCCTTATCTTTTAGAGAAACGTTCTGAAATATAGAGAGTGAAACAATATTATGTCTGGGATTTGCTTCAGAATAATGTGGGAGTACGGGAGTGGGTGGGAGGACAGATGAAACAAGATTGGCCAAGAGATGGGGCCGGCCCCATGGTGTAGGGGGTAAGTGTGCGTGCTCCGCTGCTGGCAGCCCGGTGTTCGGATCCCTGGCACGCGCCGACTACACCGCTTGTCAGGCCATGCTGTGGAGGCGTCCCACATAAAGTGGAGGAAGATGGGCACGGATGTTAGCTCAGGACCAGTTTTCCTCAGCAAAAAGAGGATTGGCATGGATGTTGGCTCAGGGCTGATCTTCCTCACTCACACACACACACACACACACACACACTCTAAATAAAATAAATATTAAAAAAAAAAAAAAAAAAAAAGATTGGCCAAGAGTTGATAATTGCTTAAGGTTGGTGATGGGTTACTTTTGCATTGATTTAAAATTTTCTGTAATGAAAAGTTAAAAATTTTAATGTCAATTAAAAAGTAATCCATATTCAATTTAAAAAATTACTTTCAAAAAGGAATGAATATTCAATTTTCATTGTTTGGTCAATGTTATTATCTCAAGATTCTGGAAATATCTTTAAATAATTAATAATTAATTACATTAAGATTTACATCTGTAAAACTATAAAAATTCTTCTCACACGATGGTCAACCCGATGAGCTCTTCCAAAGAAGATGCCATCATACAATTTTGGCTTGGGGCCTTGAAGTCCTCTTCTTTTTGTCATATCACCTCCCCTGTACAATGAAATTCTCATATTGTGGGAAACCATGTAGCCGTCAGTCGTTGGCATGCACCTAGTCAATGTCTGTGCAGGATGTTTATATCAATTTGCTGATGTATAAATAATCTGCTGTGAGTTTTCTTTGGATTATGAATTGACCCCAGCTGAGTAGCTTACAGTTGAGCCTTACAGCCTAGTGCATTCCTTCTTGTCATATATCACACTCTCATTCTATCACTGGGGAATAGTGGGTATGGTGAGGAAAAAAGCTATTTACTTGTAGATTCTGGAGACTGATAGAGTAAATATCACTCTTTTGCTTTAACTGATTAATTGCTGATTAATGTTATACTATGTAATAAAAACCTCTGCCAGATGTTGCCCAAGGTGGACAAGGTTCAGAAAGACAAAGTACTATGTCAAAAAAAGGGTACTTTTCAGGACTCTGGCTGAGTGATTTTAGGGAGATAGTTTTGTTACAGGTATTGCTTTATTGTAACACCATAGTTGCTTCAAACATACCCCTAGATAAGAAGTATCCTTTCATAACAAACAAAAAGAGTTAGAAAGCTATTTCAGATTCTTGTGCCACATCATTCTAACTCTTTTTCAAAAACTCACACCCAATTTGTGATGAGGCTGGTTGTAATTTTCCCTATCCTAAGTCTCTGTCATGTGGGGTGGAGGTGGTGTTGGAGGAGGACTAATTTGTGTTTTTCATGCTTATACTTAAAAGATGGCAGTGGATTAGGAGGAAGCAGGGCCTAGTAACTGAGGGTACAGAAAAATGAAAACGAATAACGGGTGGGCAAGACTGAACCGACGCAAAATGCCTAAGAACGTCACAATTACTGCAATAAAGAAATAGGAATGGAGCAATTTTCTCAAGAAGAGATGGATATCTTTTTACTTTACACTGGGTATTTAATGCCCTAAGTATGTGGACCATGGATATTTCCAGGAACCGATTATACGGGAAATAATTAGAATCCAGTACAGATATTTTCTTCAGCTACTAACAGTCATTCAGTTGGAAGAGTCACTAACCGAAAATTATTTTTTTAAACATCACATAAAAATAGAAAATAGACAAAATTTCAAGATAAAAATGATTATTGATTTATGTAATGCCTTTGAAAAGAAATGAAATTTTTTTTTGTGTGAGAAAGGTTAGCCCTGAGCTAACACGTTGCCAATCCTCCTCTTTTTGCTGAGGAAGATTGGCCCCGGGCTAACATCTGCGCCCATCTTCCTCTACTTTATATGTGGGATGCCTGCCACAGCATGGCTTGATAAGCAGTGCATAGGTCTCTGCTGGAGATCCAAATCTGCAAACTCCAGGTTGCAGGAGCGGAGCATGCGAACTTAACCACTATGCCACCGGGCCAGCCCCAAAAGAAATGAAATTTTTAACCAAAATTAAAAATAAAAACAGGGATATGAATTCAAAGAAAATATGATAAAAGATTTATACCTTTAATACATGAAGCACTTGGACAAAAGAAAAAAATTAAAACTTTAAGAAATAAGTAGGGAAAAACCATGGTGGCCATTACCCACAGGACTAAAACTAACCTCACCATTAAAAGACCAAGCGATAGTAAACATGTACTTATATGTATTATATAAACAAAGAAATATCTTTGTTTTTGCATACTAAATATTACAAAAGATAAATCTCTTAATATCCAATATTCTTGTGGGTGCACTAAAATTGCTTATCTCATATCTGTACCAGTAGAAAGTAAATGGCAAGAACTATAAAATCATTCCTAAACTTTGGTCTACTAATGCCACTTTGGGTAATTTAACCTCAAAATGCCGAATCACAAGAAAAAGCTACATACACAAAAAATGTTCATCAAAATTTCATGTATAATAGAGAAGAATTGAAAAGCAAACAATATATACAATCATGGGGAATGATTTCATAGCTTCATAAATGTTGTACGACCATTATAAATTATGATTTTGAATAGAATGTGGCAACAGGGAAATACGGGTATGATATGTTAAGTGCAAAGTCCAAGATAAAAGTTATTTGTGCATTATTATGGCAATATTTAAAAAATATATACATTTGAAAAGAGACAAAATAATAGTAGCTTCCTATTGTTTTAATTACATATTTTATTTCATTATAGATGATTTCTCCTCTTAACTTTTATGAAAATACATAACATTTTATAGGTAATATATAAATATATTAAAATATAACAATAAGTACTTTTTAAAATTACAAAGCCCTAAGGGAAGCCAAATCTGTATTCGATATATGAACTATCATTAATCCTGCATGAGTAAAGTGTGAATTAATGAGGTCTCTATTTTGGGAATTCTTTAAGTGCTAAAGATGTCATAAAAGGTAATATGATCAAATCCCTACTATGTAGTAGTTGCTTTAGATATATTTTCTCTAATTTTCACCACATCCCTGTAAAGTATTACTATCCTCATTTCAAAGTAGGAAATGAGGCAGATACAGGTTAAAAATCTTGCCCCACATCTCAGAGTTTCTAGATGCCACAGCCAGCACTTGAACTCGGGTCAGTTTCACTCCAAAACATAAACTGTCTTCTCTATCCACACTGGCCTTCTATGTACAGTAAGGTTAGTAAGTATTAAAGATATTAAACAACAAACTTTATCAGAGTAAAATATATTCTCTCTTTAATCAGAACTATTGAATCAGATCTGAATGCTCACCTCTCTTAAGACTGACTTAAAATGTGATCTCCCTGTTTTCTGAGACCATGTTTTTCCAGAAGGCCCGTACCGCATCTGATTCCTCTTGCTTATGACATCAGCTTTCAGCTTTGGGGGTTCCCCTTCCATAACGAACACCAGTTTTACATCCATTAGCATTAAATATGAGATACGAAAAAATAAGTTCCTGAAATATAAAAATTAGTAATATATTAATCACCATCTATTGTTGGCAAAAGTCAACATAGCAGTAGGACATAATGGCAAGAACATTAGGCTAGTATCAAAAATGTTATATGCAATAACATGTTATTTATTAAGTTAAGCTTTTAAGTAGACTGAGAATCCACTGAATGTTTTTAAGCAAGGGAGATTTATGATTATTCTAATTGCTATATGGAAAATCGTTTGGAGGAGGAGGCCAAGAGTGGAGAGAGGGAAACCAGTGAAGGTATCATTTCAGCAGGACAGATGAGAGATGATGTTGGCACACATTGAGAGAGGGCCTCTGGACATCAAGAGAAGTTTGTGAACATAAAGTATATTTTGGAAGTAGAACTGTCAAGACTTCCTCATAGATTGGATGTAGGGAGGGGTAAAACAGGGAGCGAATGGCTCCTAAATTTCTGGCTTTAAGTCACTGAAGCATCCTAGTGGATATGTTAGTAGGCAGCTAGGTACGTGAATCTAGAGCCCGAAGGGTAAGAGGTACAAATTTGTGAGTCATCAATAGAGATGGAAGATCTAGACATGTTAGTATATTTTAAAATCTCAAAATGTAAAACAATAACAACAAAAGAAATAAAGTGGAAACAAAACCAAGACATCAACTGCTTATGCAATCATACATTTATATTCTGAGAACTTTTACTATACCTGAGGTGGGGCTTCAAGACTGCTCCAATCATTTTTTTGACTGTCTGTGCTTCACATACCCAGAGACTCAGATCGACTGCAATGGTTTTCCCACCAAGACTGTGCAAGTGCATGTGCTGCTTAACAGGCTCCAGAATTGGCCACAAGTCATTCACTCCCATTCTGGTGATATCTGCTCTTATTTGAAACACACTTTCCAAAAAATTGTTAAAAGATACAAAAGCTCAGAACAGGAATTCAAACAATATATTATGTGCTAGTTTAGGATAATTCATAAATAGAGGATTCTCCTTATTTCTTTCATTAGTTAGCTTTTTGAAATGAATCAAGAACACCTGAAACATTAAAAATGGTGGTAATTGACTTACTGGCTACAAAAATAACTGATGCAACTAACGGATAAAGTTATTTGCAGATAGTAGCATGCTAAATTTGTCCTTAAAATCCACTCATGTCACCAAATATGGGTTTCTCTATAGTACTGAAAAATAGTTATTTTTAAAGTTAATGTAACCCAAATGTCAATGGTCCCCTTGTCCCTCCTCATTCTTTCCTCTTCTTTTCTATGTCCTCTTTACCAGTGGCCGAGAATAAAACTTTTCACACGGTTGCATTAATATTGCATGACATTTGGAAAAGGAAAAAATTACCAAAAAAAATATGGTGGTAATTGGCTTTGTTCCAGCTAATAAGAAGAGCTAACAAATGCAGAGATGGATAGAAAATCCAGGGATGCTGTAAATCTTGTTTGTCTTCTTGAGAATTCACTCCTTGATTTACATACTAAAGAGAGAATAGGACTAGTCCTCTATCATAATCAGGAAAAACAAAAAAACAAAAGCAAGGAAGCATGCAAGTAAGCAAACTAAAGAAAAAAACAAGCCGTTAATGAAGGCACACTTTGATGGAGATAGAAGGTGGAGAGCAGGAGGAATATTTAAAAGAGCACTGGCTTTTTAAATTGCAAGGTCACACATGCGGGTTGTGGAAAAATAAAAGATCTTTTCAAAGAAAAATTTTAAAAAGCACATATAGTCCTACTACCCAAAGAAAGCTAATGTTAAACTCTTTTCTATGTACTTGACATTTTAAAAAGAAAATTGGCTTAAACTCTGCTATTGTAACCTGCTTTGGTATTTTCTGTAGGCCAGTTTTTCCTTATTAAACATCTATATCTGTTTTTCTTTTCCTTTGCTATTATTTGATAAAAATATTATGTAGTGTTTGCAACGAAGATTCAGTTTGACTATACAAATATAATTCAGATTATCATCATCTAAATAATGACCTTTCATTCATTCCAAAATTACAAGATAGGACACAAAAAATATTAAGTCAAAAGGCTATCACCATAATGCAAAACCATTGTAAACAAAAAGTACTGTATTGTCTGTTGCTTTAACAGAGTCTACACTAAAAGTGATTTTCTCAAATTGTACATAGCTACAAAGAAAATAAATGCTGGAAGTGTTGCTGTCATTTTCTTCATGCTTTTCTGAATCATAATTTTATACTGTGGCCAGTACCACTGTAAGTATCATTTTGTGCATTCATTTTTATGAAGAAATGCACAAATATTTGCTGATATGTCACTTTACAAAGAAAAATAGATTTAAATATAAAGAAGAAAGCACCATTAAACTTAATGGTGGCTCAGTGCTAATACTGTCTGTTTCACATCAAGAAGTCTCACTGGTTGAATGTGGCATTGCGGCATAGATTCAGACTTCAGGTTTCATCTCTTTGTTAATGTGAAAAGCTGTAGTTAATTCTGGAAAAAGAGTAGGGATGCATATCTTTTCTAAGGCATTATTATGAAAGGAAACAAGACTTTTAAAGTATTAACCATCAAAACACTTAAAATTCAGAAATAGAAAGTTTGAGGGGGAAGTTCTTGTTGATAGTTTTGCTTTCCTTTTATTTGTGACTCATGCTGGATACCGAAATGGGTTGCAATGGAAGGGAATTATGCAATTCCTCTCTGAAGGAAAATTATCATAACTGATCTTATTTCATTTAAATGTGACCCTGACTCTAGGCGTCAAAATTTGAATGTAGGTATCTTCTGATTTAGCAACATCTCTCTCAGGAATTTATTTTAAGATATGCTCTTAGGTGTATGCAGATTTACCAACAAGGATATTCATCGTAGCATTGTTTATAACAGTAAGACACTGGGAAGAACCAAATGTCCATCAATAAAGGACATATCTTTAAGTAAATTATGCTATGTTCAAACAATGGAATAGATGATGCAGCAAATAAAAATGGGATAGATCTATGTGTATTGATAAAAAAAAGTCTGCAAGTTTTAAAATGAAAATAGGTACAAAATAGGTCATATATCACAGATGACTGAAGTTGAGGAATGAGAATTACTCTTCAAAGTATATTCCTTTGTGTTACTATTTTTTAAAGTAACCATATACATGTATTACTTTTCAAATTAAAAAAAAAGTTAAAAAAATGTAGTGTATCTATAAAGGGTTGGGAAAATCAACTAGAAATCTTTAGATGGTTTACTTTTTGCCTAAATATTAACTGACCAAATATGGACATAGTTCATGGGTCAAAAGCAATGTTCTGCAAAGTACCTGAATATCAAACATGACTTCAGTATGGCTTTTTAAGGGATGAGAGATTTATATTTTCTGGTTTCCTTCAGAATGCCTAGGAACTAGTCATGTGGTCTTAGGCAAGGTGCATCTTTTCCCTGGTTCTTCCAGCTCTAAAGTTCAATCCTTCCTATCATGTCTCTAATGCTTCATTACATATATTGACTACACAAATATAAAGGACTAGTAATGAATGAAGACTGTCAGATAGTGCAGTGTTGTTTATGATGGCAAACATAAACACACCTTAATGTATAGGACTGTGATAAACTGTATTCCTTCTGAGGGTTGTAGGGAAAAAAAATTAGAGAAACGCGATGAGGTAGACTCTTGATCTTACAAACTGTAGTCCTCTAAATATTTCAAGCACATTAGGGTCATTTTGTAATGAATCATTTTGTATGGATGTTAATGGAATATATTATTCACTGTGGCACCCGTACCTGGAAAAAAATAAGCCCAGAACTGATTCTATTAATATATTAAAATTCCCACAGATTGGATCCCTTAAGCAAGATGAAGAGGGCTTTTAGCTGAGCCCATAAACAATATCTTTAATATAACATGATCATTACACTTAAAACTTATTCATATTATTTTAGTTTCATCTGTCAGAAATAAGCCTGGTTTAAAGAATGAGCATCTGTGGTTATGTTACAGAACAACAAGCACTGGTAGTTGAACAGATACCAGCAATGTCTCCCTAGCCCATCTGTTTTGGCTATTTCTTGACTATAATATCAGCAAAGACTACACAGCTGTAACAAGGGCTACTTAATCACAATGGTATGAATAACATAGGCAAAAAGAAAAAAAGTCTGTAACAGAATCATCTGTTAGTTCCCAGGAAGTAAAATCTGAGTTACTGTATCTGAGCGAGAGTGTTTTCTTCTCCACTTTTCCTTAGTTATGTGACATTTTCTAAAAAAAAAGTCTCTTTCATTGTCAATCCTGGTTACCATATTTTTAAATCTATCTCAAAGCCTTTTAAACCACTTTGGTACCTTAACCTACATATATCATAACCATATATCTACTGAAATGGACTTGAAAAAGGTGAGTCTCTAGTGTGCTCCCCAAGCACACTCCTACCAAGTAGTCATGCCCTGCTATGTTTCCTTCATAAGCATGAAAGAATTGCTGCTATCATGAAATATGCTTTTTTTCCACTTTTTTCTCTAAATGATAGGAATCAAGCGGATATTTTTATAGGAGGTAGCCTTTCTCTATGACATGCCCCAGTGAATCTTTTTTTCTCTTAGTAACTTAGCATTAATGAATATCTATTAGACCTTCTTGAATTACTGCCAAGACTTTATATAGCCTTCACTACTTTTAACTAAAAAATAATGAATTAGAACTATGCCAAACAACAATATTTAAAGGATTAGAGGCAGGCGTGAGAATTGGAAAGTGAGCAGAAAGACTTACAAGAATACTTTTCGTCAGTCAGAAAGGCAGATTACACTGGAAAGGACATTATTGCTGAGTTCCCTTTGAAGACTCAATAATGAAGGAACTTTTCTTCACTTTCCCTCTCTAAATTATCCCACATCATTTAACAACTCCTCTGAGCTCCTGACTAGAACATCTAAGCCCCTACTTTATCTTCACACGGATGCATAATATGCATCTAACTCTTGATTCCACCACGTCTCCTCAAAACTGTTCTACCCCTAGTCTTTCCCAAATACCCAGCTGCTTGGGAAAAAACCTAGCAGTCATTCTTGACTCTTCTCTTTACATTGCTCTCCAACAGGAGCTTGATCAGCAAGTCCTCTGTCTCCAAAATATATCCTAAATCCCCATTTCTAAGGGTACTCCCCTAGTATTGCCTAGTATTGCCACAAACGAAATGGTCTCCCAACTGGCCGCCCTCCTTCCACTTTGTACTACTCTCCACCTCCACACAATCATTCTCCCCATAAAAGCCAGAGAGATCTTGTTTAAAAACCTAAAACATTAAAATCATTTCTCTGGTAATGGATAGTAAATTTCCTTAAAGGTGACAAAACCTCCATTTGTCACAAGTTAATTTGCTTCTTCATTTATGGTGCTGTCTTATAACCAGTTATAAAATGCAAAAAATATTAATTTAAAATTACATAAGTATTCTAAATGTAATATGTTATTTGAAAATATTTTAGGATTATCTTCAGTAGATCTACAACCTAAAGTTCTTTAAGTTTAAAAATGCATGTTCCTTTTGGAAATCACTCATAAAAGCAGAATATTAAAAGAATACCTTAATAGTTCTGAAATGGTACATTTTTGCGAACTGTGTATTTTATGAAAAATAACACCATAACATGTTTTAAGAATGCAGGTAATCCAAACTATTTCCACGATCTATTGTTTTCCATTTCTTGTCACTTTCTTTGCACCACTCTGAAGTGACATTACATAGCAACGGTAAGAATGTAAAAGCACATTAAGTTCCAAAAAGGGACAGAATGCAACAGCTTTTAAGATATTCAAGTACAACTGCACTCAAAGATAGAACAGATGGTTCTAGCCAAAGGTCATGATCAACCTGATGAGGTTACTTGAAAATAGCTCAGCATCAAGTAAAATTTAAAAATACTATACATATCAAACTCATTCAAAACTATGTATTTTGTCTTGCTTTTTATTTCAATAGGGTGAAATTTGAAATTTTTTGTGGTGTGGGATTTCATGAGTCTCTACTCATATCTTTTATAATGTAATAATTTTATTGATGCCAATCTGATTATCCAATATTAGACATAAAAAAAGAGACTCCTAACGTATTCACAATTCTTAAAAATCAGTGTGACACAAGAATACTTACCTGAATCAACAAAGTCAGAACAACCCATAGCAAATAACTTTATAACCTATTAGTGGCTTCAATTTATTTGTTTTAGTGAAAGAGCACTGAACTTGGGATAGAAAACCTAGGATTTTGGTCTTGGATGCACCACTGACTAGCTTTATGACCTTGGCAGACATTTAACCTATCTACAAAATGAGAAGTATGAAACCAGATGAATTACAAGATTCTGATGTCCTTTGAATCTCATCACCAATTTTGGTAGCTTGGTATTAAAAAAAATCATTCTATTTCAGATATTATTGCTTGGTAGAAAGAACATGAATTTCTAGTTTAAAGAAAGGGCTTAAGAATCTATTGCAGGTTAAAACAAAAACAAATCCTTTGATGTAACCATATGGTGTCCATAAATCAATTTATGCTCCTAAAACTTCCTTAAAAGCTAATAAGCTTTTATTGGTTAATTATAAAACTGAATGAGGTGAGAAAAGCACAGAACCCTGCTAATTCCACTAATGAATCAAATTTAAAGAACATAAAAAGAGGTTAGTGGTTTGATTTATGCAAGAACACACATTTTATTAAACCAATGGTTTTTCCAGTTTTAAGCAAAAACATTAATTTTTTTTTTAACAGTGAAGTGGGAAACACTTTCAATTTCCCAATTCCCAGGTAGATGACTATATTTTCACATAAAGATTGGTAAATGGTGTAAAGTTTATTTCAGTACAGGATTGTATTGTATGGGATTTACCACATAATTTCACTAATTAATGCTGTTTTTACTATTTCTTTAGTTTTATTTTCATATGAATTTAGCTTAAACTTTGAAGCATAATATAACCCAGGCATAACTTACATATTTTCAATAAATATTTATTAAATACTTATTTACCAGGAACTCTTCTAGGTGCTGAAGATACAATAATGAAAGACCAAGCCCTGCATTTAAGGATCTTGGTGAGATTAGAGATAAAAAGGGAATTATTACAATGTGACAAGTACATGCCCAGAGGTAAGGTGAATGAACTACGAGTATATAGAAAAAGAGGTACCTTACCTAGTCTAGGGCATCAAGGAAGGCTTCCTAAAGGAAGTGACATCTAAGCAGAAACCTACCAACTGCATTTCCCATTGTTTACCAACAAGGACGATTTAGGCCAGAAGTTGTTTTAGTTTATTTTGACTACGTCATACTTCTCACTGTATCATGTCGAGGGCCACAACAGAAACATATATTTGATCATCTTTAAAAGAGTGGCTTTGATGGAAGGAATTTCATTATGGAGACCAGAAGTTTGACATCAATTTATTTGGGGGTGGATGGTAAATGCCACTTTTTTCCATCTAGAAAGGAAGATTTTGGAGTATAGAAAGTCGATTACTTGGCTAGATGAGCATGTCACGTGAATAGCTGAGTAAAGGCTGAAGAAATAGGTTAATGTCGGGTTGAGAAGAGCGCTGAAAGCTAAGCCAAGAAAGTTAAACTTCATTAGTTCCGATATTTATTGAGGGAGTTTACAGTACAAGCTCGAGCAAGAGAAAGAAGGACTGTAAATCAACAACCACAATCCCTTAAAGTAACTGCTATAATGGAAGTATTTCCAAAGCCCCACGTTGACACCGAACAAGAGGAATACCCAAGTGTGCCTACGGGGATCAGGGAGGGCTCGCCCGGGACGGCCCCGAACGAGGCGCGGGGCTGGCCCCACGGTGTCCCCGGGGGAAGGCCACTCCGGACCCAGCGGCCTTGGCAGAGGCGGGCAGAGATGCCCGCGCGGGGGTCAGCCGCAGGGGCGGGGGAGGCGGCCGGCTCGGGGAGCAGGGCCGGCTGGCGGCCCCGCGGCCCCGGGCGCGGTCCTCCCGCACTCTAAGGGGGGCTGCCGACGGTGCCGGGAGGAGGCGGGCACGCGAACCCAGAGCTCGCCCCGCCCGCAGAGTTCAAAGGAGTCAGGGGAAGGCCCCGGGCGGTGCCATGTCCCCACCGTTCCGCGGGACTTACCGGGACAGCCCTTTCTCCTTGGTTTTGGAAGACGCCCCTCCGTCATTTACCAGTTCGCCCTGAACCCTAACTATTGCTGCCTCCAAGTTTCTGAATTTTCTCTTCTCAAAAAAAAAAAGTAAAAGAAACCTTCCTCTTTCCCTTCCCAAGCAAAGACTGACGTTTGGGGCTTAACGCCCTGACCTGGAAAGGTCCTGGAGCATTTCGAATTTGGCGCATTCTTCCACACGGCCCCGCCTCTTCCGGGAAGTGACTGTCTCCTGTCCCCCGCCGGGGCCGCAGACCCGGCTGTCCCGGCTCCTAGCCAGCCCGCTGTACGCATGCGTGGAACTGTTGCCGGGGATCTCCGAGTTATCTTCCTTTTCACTTAGGCAAATCACCCGCCTTCCTGCCGCCCACCGCGTCCGGCCGTCGCCGAGCCCGGCGTGCCGACCAGTTTCCCCAGTCAGCCCAGGGGCACTTCCGGCCCCTCCCGTTAGACTCCAGTGGCGCGAAAACTCCTAACCGCGCACGCGCGGGCGGAGTCTCGGCGGGCGGGGGGGGGCGGGGCGCAGGCGCGGAGCGTCCCGCGGTGGGCGCAGGGGAGGCCCGGCTCCTGCGTTCTCCTGCGGGTGGTGCGCGGTTCGCGGCGGGCCAACGGCGGCCAGCCGAGGCCGAGACGCCTCCGGGGTGGCCTTAGCGTCCGGCTGCGCCGCGACACCCCCGCCGATCGGGTTCCTTGGAGACACTTCGACTTGTTCGAGGTAGGATGAGGGCGCGCTCTGTCGCTCTCCCTTGCTCCCGATCCACCCCCCGTCGCTGCCCTTTTAGCTGCAGACCCCAGCGCGCCTGGTGGCGGCGGGTCGCCGGAGCTGCGGCGGGGACCGGGGTGTTCCCTGCGGGCCCGGGCGGGCCGGCCGGCGGGGATCTGGGCGCCGTCCCCGCGGGCTGCACAGGTCTCCTCAGCCGGGGAAACTTGCCCGTCGGCGCTGGGCGCCTCCCTCGGGCGGCCCCGCAGGGAGGCTCGCAAATCCCGGCTTGGGCTGTGGGACCCGGCGCCCGGCCCAGTGGCCTTTGGCTTTGGAGAGTAGCTTGAGGGAGATAGGGGTAAGGGGGTAAGGTTGGGCTCGGGAATTGGGCTCTTCTCACGAATCGGATGAAATCTCACAAGCAGCAACTTACGTAGGTTTAAGAGATGTATGCATGTATCACTTAAATCGGATTTGTTGTTAAATCCCAGTTTCATGAAAACGCAAACCGTGTTATCTAGAAAAATTAAAGTGTGATGTTTGGAGGTTTTATGATGGCATTTCTTTTCCCTCTTTTCTTGTGGAAATGAACTGGAGAAGAATTCCGATTGGGAATTACGGAACACAGGACACAAGGGTAGAGAAAGGGCTGTAGGACCTTTAGGGCTTGAGATAATTCCTAGAAAGAGGAACTCTTTGGTGTTTAAACCCTGCAGACAGAACTTATGTGAGCGCTTATTACTCTGTGCATATTTCATGAGAAGGAGATTAAAAGAGTGTTTTAAAAACAAGCTTTTCTGAACTGTATATTCAAAAGAAAAAAAGGTTCCAATTCCCTGACCTTTAGACAGCTGCTGTGTGAGTCTTTTAAAATATTCAATAGCATATGCAATGGCCTGCAGATAGTTCCGTGGGTGTGTGGGTGGGGAGGGAGCATATTAGAACTTAGATTTATTTGATCTCATTCTATTACTGTGTGAAATATACGGGGCAATAATTTTATGTTGGAATGTCTACACAAAATTTCTTTTCCTGAATTGGTAAGTACAAAAAAGTTTGGAGATCACTAGACTACTGCTTAAAAACATTTTTGTATAAGACAGAACCAGTGTTGTGTGACTCTGGGTAAATTGGTGCCACCTCTAAGTTTCGGTTCTTTTTCTGTAATTGGAGACATTAACAACATAGTACCTAACTTACAGGATTCTTAAATATGTTGGGGGAGGCGGGTAAGAGAGAGAGAGAGAGAGTTATAGTTCTTTATCTATATCCATCTATAATTAGTATAAAGCATTTGCTATTGAGGCTGGGAAAAACTAAGTACAAATGGCATGTTAAAGTTCTTACAGTGAAAAACAGGTTTTATTCCCCAAAGGTGTATTTTACTGAGTATCTAGATGTAGAATTTTACATAAAATCTGCCTAAATCTTGACTATCACTTTCAGACCTAAGTTAGGAAAATTAAATCTGTGCTCGGGTTACATTCAGGAATTCATAAACAAGTAACTCAAAATTTTACTGTAATAGTATGCATTATATTTAGGGCATAATTAAATGTCACAGTTCTGTATACACACACACTCATAAGTCCATATGACTCAGATGAGGGTCAAGTGTAGTCACTTTTATTAATATTAACTTTTTTGATTCACTAGTTACTGAGAGAAATCTTTTCTCACTCAACATACTTTCCCTGGTGACCAAATTCAGAATAATTTCTGTAGCTTTCTTAGCTTCACTCCCAAGTCCACCTCTGCTGCAGAGTCTGTCTTACTGCCTACTGGCCTCTCCATCTCAGTATCCTAGGAGCACTTCAAACTCAGTGTTTTCAAACAAAATAAATGTTTTGTCCTCCTTCCTTGCTAAAACTGCTCTGTCTGCTTATGGTATTTAGCATTGTGTGAAGATTGTTTCTGAAAATTAAACACAAAATGAAATTTTATAAAGCAAGCTCAAGGTTTCAGTTGGCTTTAGTAGTGTTAGAGGGACACATCACAATAGAATCCTTTTTGTAGTTTTATACATTAATAAAGGATAGACGAGATGAGTGGATTAATAACCAGTTTCACTGCCTATAAACAATTAAACTGTGTTTTAAACTCAGTTGTTCATGCTGAGAGGAACCTGGACGTTAAAGAGGTTTGGCTTTGGGTGTTAAGAAACCTGGATTGGATCTGGGTTCTGCTGAATTACAGCTACATAAGCCTGGGCAAATGTCTTTCACTTGAGCCTCAATATCCCCTTTTGTAAAATAAGGGCACTACTTATCTCATAAGGAACGTTGAGGATTAAAGGAAATAAAGTGTTTATCTCAAAAACTAAGCATATAATAAGTATTCAACAGATGTGAATTCCGCTCACCCACTTCACCCAGTCTTTTCAGTCTTTTGGTTTGCTCTCTTCCTTTCATCCGTGGTGTTGCCTCTGCTTTGGTTCAGTGCCCCTCTTCGTTTAGAGACTGGTCTCCTTTGCCCCTATTCTCACTCTCTCTGTTTTGTCTGTCCTCTATATTGAGGCCACAGGAATGTTTTCAAAACACAAATCTGTGCATTCAAATTTTATTATCTGAAATGCTGTGCTTAGTGCTTCCCAGTTTTGCTGATCTGGAATTGTTTGATGGATGGACTTAACGAATTTTCTTGCTTAAATATTTATATTATTTATTATCAAATGCATCTCATTTGATTTCATGATATATTCCAAGCAGTGCACTTAGTTAATTCAGTACATTAAAAATGAAGTTGTTTAATGTAGAATGAATATGTCCGTGATGGTGGGAGAAATGGAAATGGGCATGAGGTAAACACAGTCCACAGCAGATTCAGAAGTAGCAGCAATTTGCCTTTTTTTTTTCTTTACCACTATTTTCTTTTTTTTAAAGATTTTATTTATTTATTTTCTCCCCCCAAAGCCCCAGTAGATAGTTGTATGTCATAGCTGCACATCCTTCTAGTTGCTGTATGTGGGACTCGGCCTCAGGATGGATGGAGAAGTGGTGCCTCGGTGCGCGCCCGGGATCCGAACCCCGGGACACCAGCATCGGAGCGCGTGCACTTAACCACCAAGCCATGAGGCCGGCCCTTTACCACTATTTTCTATTGATAATTCCAATTCTGTTATGTTTGTTCTCAACTGCTGTTAGTCCCTACTTTGATATTAATGGGAAGTATGAATTATTAGATGCTCACAATAAAATTTAAAATTTAGAAATTTATAATCCTGTTAAAATGTATTTGATCTCTCTCAAATTTCTTGTGCACATGCATGCTGTAATGAACCTTTGGTTATTGATTTTTCCTCTTGAACTTATTATTATTTTTTTTGGTGAGAAAGATTAGCCCTGAGCTAACATTCGTAGCCAATCCTCCTCTTTTTGCTGAGGCAGATTGGCTCTGGGCTAACATCTGTGCCCATCTTCCTCTACTTTCCATGTGGGACGTCTGCCACAGCATGGCTTGATAAGCCGTGTGTAGGTCTGCGCCTTGGATCCAAACCCGCAAACCTCAGGCCACTGAAGCAGAGTGCACGAACTTAACCACTACGACTCGGGGCAGCCCCTCTTGAACTTATTTTTTATTGATAATCTGCATATTTGTTTCTGTTCCTGTTCTGATGGAGTTTGCTTCCTGTGAGGGAGGAATGATATGTTCCTTATTTCTGATTTTTTTATTGTAAATAAACAAACATTAAAAATATGAAGAGCTTTATGGATATATTGAAAAACCTAGAGGAGATTTTTTTCCTTTTTTGTGTATTCCAGGATATTTAAAAGTATTTTTCTTTGCATCTATTTAGTTGTCGTTTTAGTTTATTGGAAACAATTTTATTATTTTTAACCTGTATCTAACTCTCAGGACATTCATATGTGTTTTAAAAAATCCATTATCATTACATTATCAAATGATTCCTATTTTAAAAGGTAGGATCCTTCACTGTCTGTTAGACGCAAGTTACCATGGCAACCTAATAGCAAACTGCAAATCCTAGGCCAAGCACAGCAAATAAAAAACATCGTTGTCATGTAGCACACTATCTTCTGTGTAATATAGAATCTCACATTCATTGTAAGAAGCTTATCACATTTACCTTCATTCATCTCCCTCTCCTCAATTTTACTTGAAAATGGTGAAGTACTAAAATGAGTCAGCTCATGTCGGAGTGCCTGCTGACTGTAAGATCATCTATTAGGCTTAATAAGAACAGTGTCTAAAAGGGCATTTAACGTTGGGAAAACCAAAAAGTAACGCTTCCTCTTTGCTCTTCTATAATAAATAAATTATTGCTCAATGATTGAGAAGGAGATAGAGGATGGGTGGGAGAGAAGAAAATGTTGTTGGGAAAATAATGGTCTGATGGCATTGTAGGGAATTTAAATTAGCAACAAGCTGAAACTAATATACATTGATTCTTGTTATTAAATAGTTTGAGAAATATGTTTGATTTTTAAGTTTTGACTTCTGTAAGAGATTCAAAATAAACGTTACATTATTTGTAAAAAAAGATGTTGAATATTTTGTAAATGTGACTGCCATGCTAATATTGTCTCAAAAGGTATTTTTTAGGTTAAATGTCCTTCTTTGGATGTTGACTAATATACCTTTTAAATGGCGTTTGATTTATCATGACAGATTAGGTTCTTCATTGCCTTTAGGATAGAATAATAAAGTCCAAATTTTTTTGTTTACAACAGTATTTCAGACTTGAATGTGCTTATGAATAACCTGAGATCTTGTTAAAATGAAGATTCTGGTTCATTTGGATTGGGGTGGTACCTGAGATTGTGGATATCTAACCCCTGCCCAGGAGATGTAGATGCTACTTGTTGGTCCTTGGACCACACTTTGAGTATCAAGTCTGCAAGCCCTTCTCTGCTGCTCTAACTTGATTGCTTGCTAGCTATGCCTTATAACTTACAGCATTGTGTCAAGGACTTGCTTTTAGTATCCTTATAGCAGCAGTTTGCAAAGTGTGGTCCAGGGATCCATGAGATTCTTTCAAAGGGTCTACAAGGTTAAAATTGTTTTCATAATAATAGTAAGATATTATTTGCTTCTTTCACTCTCATTCACTTAAGGGTGTACAGTGGAGTTTTCCAGATGTTATGAGACATGATGATGTCGTTGCTCTGACAACTGATAGAATGTGTACTTGTTTGTTTTTTGTTTTAAAGTTTCTCAGTTTTAATTTATAACATGGTAAATGTTGATAGATATAAACAAAAGCTCTTTGAGGTCCTTAGTACTTTTTAAGAGACCACAACCTTTGAGAACTGCTGCCCTGTGGTACTGGGCCATGGACACAGAGACTCAAACCTAGAACTTTACAGAACTCGTTTCTTAGCCGCAGTGACTACTGGGCTGGGGTGGGAATTTCGGCTCTCTTCATGGTCTGCATGGACCCTGTAGTGGGATGGCCTCCCTACCTCTCTGGGCAGTGGTAAAAGGCCTCCCCTGACACCATCCAGGAGACAGTGGGAGTCAGTAGCACCCTATTACTGCCTGGTGGGAGTACAGGTCTAGGCTCTCTAGGTGGTCTCCATTGACGCCATTATCATGGTTCCCTACTTGGCCAACATAGCCTTCTCTGACACTAGCCAGCTGGGATGTTGAGATGCCTCCTTATAGCCTCTCCAGGGTAGAAGTCCAGGCTGTCCACTTGGCATGGGGAGGGGAGGAGGGGCCACAGTTTTTTCAATGGTATTTGGTTGGAGTATAGCAATTATTGTCTAAAAGTTTTCTGTCTTGTTGGGGTGTCCTTTTCCTGGTCCTTTGGCTAGAGAGAGCAAGTTTTCATTAAGGTTTTTTTCCCCCTGCACCTGTTGGTGTTTCCCCAGTTGCTGGCTTCTCCAAGTCTGGGATGTTTGAGGCAAAACAGGAACTCAGGGAATGAACCATGGTATCATTTCTTGAGTCCTGAGGTCCCTAGCCAATCTGCCTCCTGCTCTTTCAGAGTCATCTTAATGTTTGTTTTATATATAATTTCCAAGGCTCTTAGTTTTACTAAGCAGGAGGAATAGGGAAAAGTACATCTACTCCATCTTCTTGGAAGTGGAAGTCTTTCATTGCTTTTTTTAACTTGTACTTTGGAAAAAAGAATTAGAGCCTGAATTCTAGCCCCGCTGCGTATCTCTTATATTTTGTTGTATAAAAATATATGAATAAACATTAAAATATTCCCATTAAAGAAAAACTAGACGATAAAGCAAAGAACTAGTTTCTAGAGAAAATGTTTAAAATTTAATTAAATAGAATTTGAATGAAAGGAGTCATGACTACGGATGAGGATTTTACAAAACGTAAAGTAATTTTGTGTAGTAAATTTGAGACTTTAAATGATCAATGTTTCATAAAATAAAATTACAGAAAAATTGATTTAGGAAGATATCAAGAGGAGTAAACAACCAGTATACAAGAAAGAAATTGAAATGGTTTCATAAAATTAAAACAGACTCCACCATCTAATAACCTGAAGCTTAGTTCTTTCTCACCTCCAAAAAACATTTGTTTCATGCCATAGAAGCAATTTCGGATCATTAAAAAGATGAGAAAACTATTCAGTTTATTTAATGAAGCATGCATTGTCATAATGACAAAACCTGACAAAGATAGTTCCCCAAAACATTTCCTCCAGAATATGTATAGATATTTGATATTTCTGCAGAATTGGGTCTGTCAGTGTAGGTTTGGAAAGCAGTGGATTAAAAAATTAAACACTGTGTGAATGTCTCTCTCTCCTCACCTCCTTTTCTCTCTTGTGTTCCTACATCTCCTGTTCCCTCACATCGACTTCATGCTCTCTTTGTAACACCTCTCCTCTAGACCCCCACCCTCCCAGCATATACACATCCACTTAAGCTTGGCTTTCTTGCTCTGTGTACATATCATCTCATAGAGCTATCATCTCTTCTAGTGAGGACTGACTAGAATCTTTCGGTCCAAATTCATGAGAGAGAAAATCTCGTTTAATCTACTACTGACCAGGTACCTGGTATAGACAGGGTTGCTATGGTGTAGTCATTGGGGGACTTATATGGGTTGAGACTAGAACTATTCCTCATAGTCTTTTCTTGTGTCTTAGGAATTTCTGATTACCTGTGTCGTGGATTTTTCTCTCCATTTATTCAGCAAACAGTTATTAGGTACCTATCATTTTAGGTCTTAAATGTGTTTTAAGGAGAAAAATGAAAGCAACAATCGCAGTAGTCATAACATTTAATTTCAGTCACAGACTATCAGCTTTGACTTGAGGTGCAGTATTCGTACATTTAGAAAATCTTGTGTAATTTTGAATGTATTAATTTTCTTGGTATAAGTTTTTTAGTATTTTGGTAAAAAGTAGACAATCAGCATGGACTGTTTCTTTAGGAAACAATTAAGGAAAACTACTGGTGCTAGGCAGCACTGCTTCAAAATATGCTTCTTTGGGAAAATAAAATTAAAAGTTTTATCTAATTCACTAATACTTTATGACTTGTGAAAATTAGGTGATTGCTCTGGAATAATTTCAGAAGGTGTTATTCCATCTCTATTAATAGATCTAGGAAACTAGAAACCACAGTTTCACAAATAAAATCTTTTACCTTTTGTGAGTTTAGGAGTCAAAACATTTAGGTGGACCCATATCAATAAAATCTTGGCTAGGAATAATTCTGAAGTAAAATCAACTAGTGTAGCATATGCAGATGATTTTTTAAAAAAAAAAACAACACACATTTCTTATCTTATACTTCTGTGGGTTAGAAGTCTGGCACATCTCCCTGGGCCAAAATCAAGGTGGCAGTAGGGCATAGGTGGCAGTTCCATTTGGAGGCTCTAGGGAGATGAATGGACATAATACTTAAAGCTTAAGCTTTGTCTGATTTATTTTAAGTTCAGTGTATGAAACAATCATGTGGGTACTATACTTGATTTACTTCATTGTTGCTACATTTGTTCAGACCTGATGGCCAAAAGAAAGGAAGAAAATTTCTTCTCTCCTGAAAATGCCAAAAGACCAAGACAAGAAGAGTTGGAGGATTTTGATAAAGATGGTGACGAAGATGAATGTACAGCTTCTTTCACTAATTGTACCTCTACTTTGGTAAGTGCAAAATTACCAAATTATGGTTTTTAATTGGCATGTTTCTTGTGTCTGGTTTATATGTCATATTCTTGATAAGTCAATATCAGGAAAAGCAATATGATTTTTAAAAAGCTAAGGTAAAATAACCTGACTAATTTTGAAGTTTTATGTTAATTATTAGAAAAAATTAGTAGAGAAAACAATGGAATGAAGAGCTCTTTCTTTGGAAAGGTGAATAAAATTGACAAGCCTCTCGTAAGACCGACAGAGGGAAAAAAGAGAATACACAAATTACCAATATCAGGAATGAAACAGTGGATATGACCGTTGACCCTGCAAACATCGAAAGGATAATAAGAGAATACTGTTAACAACTCTACACACCTAAATTTGACAACTTAGATGGAGTGGACCAATTCCTTAAAAAGCACAGATTACCACAATTCGCCAAATATGAAATAGACCATTTGAATCACTGTACAACTATTAAGGAAATTTAATTAATTGTTTACAAACTCCTAAAAAAGGAATCTTCAAGCCCAGTTGATTTGACTGGAGAATTGTAGAAACATTTAAAGAGTCAACATGAATTCTACATAGTCGTTTCCAGAAAATAGAAGAGGAGGGAACGCTTTCCAATTAATTATCTTGATACCAAAACCAGACAAAGAAAGTACTAAAAAAGCAAACTACAGGGTCTGGCCTGGTGGCATAGTAGTTAAGCTCCGCTTTGGTGGCCTGGGGTTCGCAGGTTCAGATCCTGGGCACGGACCTAGGCACTGCTCATCAAGCCATGCTGTGGCAGGTGTCCCACATATAAAATAGAGGAAGATGGGCACAGATGTTAGCTCAGGGCCAGTCTTCCTCACCAAAAAGAGAAGGTTTGGCAACAGATGTTAGCTCAGGGCTAGTGTTCCTCACCAAAAAAAAAAAAAGAAAAGAAAAAAATTTAAAAAAAAAGCAAACTACAGACCTCATGGATGTGGATGCAGAAATCCCTAACACAAAATTAGCAAATAGAATTCAACAATATATAAAATGAATTATATACTGTGATCAAGTAGGGTTTATTCTAGGCATGCAAGACTGATTTATTTTCTGAAAGTCAATCAGTGTAATTCACCATATTAACAGGCTAAAGAAGAAAAATCACATGATCGTGTCATTTGGTGCAGAAAAACGTTTGACAGAATTTAGCACTCATTTATGATTAAAATTCTCAGAAAAGTAGGACTAGAGGGGAACTTCCTCAACATGATAAGGAGCACTGAAAAAAAGCCTTCAGCTAGTGTTATACTTAATGGTGAAACTGAAATGTCTTTTCCCTAAGATCAGGAACAAGGCAAGGATGTCTGCTCTTATCACTCTTATTTAACATAGTGCTGGGAGATCTAGCCAGTGTAATAAAGCAAGAAAAGGAAACAAAAGATATACAGGTTGGAAAGGAAAAAAATAAAGCTGTCCCTGTTTACAGATGACCTAATTGTCTACATAGAAAATCTCAAAGAATCTACAGAAAAAAACCTCTTGGAACTAATAAATGCATTCAGCAAGGTCACAGGATACAAGATAAACATTTTTTTTAAAAAGTCAGTTGTTACATTAGCATTGAACACAGAGACATTGAAATTCAAAATACAGTACCATTTACAGTCGCTCAAAAAAAATGAAATACTTAGGTCTAAATCTAACAAAATATGTATAGGACTAATATGCTAAAAACTGTAAGCCTGATGAAAGAGGCAAAGAAGACCTAAATAAAGGGAGAGAGATACTCCACTTGTTCATAGATTAGAAGACTCAACATAGAAGAGATGTCAATTCTTCCCCAAAATGATATGTAAGTTTAATGCAGTTTCTATCAAAATCTCAGCAAGGTTTTTTGTAGATATAGGTAAATTTATTCTAAAATTTATATAAAAAGGCAAAGGAACTAGAATAGCTAAAATCAGTTTGAAAAAGAAGAATAAAGTGGGAGGAATCGGTCTACCCAATTTCGAGACTTATGATATACCTGCTGTAATTAAGACCCTCTGGTATTGGTGTAGGGATAGACACATAGATCAATGGAACAGAACAGAGGATCCAGAAATAGACCCACACAAATCGTGGTGAACTTATTTTTGGCAGTGATGCAAAGACAATTTAATGGGGGGGGGGGGAGCCTTTTTAACAAATGGTACTGGAGGAATTAGACATCTCCAGGCAGGAAAATGAACCTCAGCCTAAGTCTCATATAAAACTTAGCTCAAAATTGGGTAACAGATTTAACTGTAAAACGTAAGACTATAAAGCTTTTAGAAACAAACATGGGAGAAATCTTTGGGATCTAGGATTATGCAAAGAATTCTTAGACTTGACACCAAACACACAAAAGATAAAATGAAAAATTGATAAATTGGACCTCCTCAAAATTAAAAACTTTTCTTCTGCAAAAGACCTTGTTAAGAGGATGAAAAGTCTTAACTACAGACTAGGAGAAAATATTTACAAACTATCCAACAAAGTACTAGTATCTTGAATATGTAAAGAACTCGCAAGATTCAACAGTTAAAAGCAAATAATCCAACTTGAGAATGGGCAGAAGACATGAGGAGACAACTCACTGAAGAGGAGCTTAGACAGATGGCAAATAAGCACATGATGTGATGTTCAGCATCATCCATCATCAGGGAAATGCAAATTAAGACCACAATGAGATATTATTACACACCCATCAGAATGGCTAAAACAAGCGATGACAATACCAAATGCTGGCAAGGATGCAGAGAAACTGGATTATTCATACATTGCTAGTGAGAATGTAAAATGATACAGCTGGCTGTGGGGAATAGTTTCGCAGTTTCTTTAAAAAATTTAATATGCAACTACCTACGATATAACCGAGCATTTGTCCCAGAGAAATGAAGATTTATCTTCATGCAAAAATCTATACATGAATGTTTATAGCAACTTTATTTGTAATAGCCCAAAAATGAAACGACTCAGATGTCATTCAGTGAGTGAATGGTTAGACATACTGTGGTACATCCATACCATTAAATGCTACTTAGCAATAAAATGCAGTGAACTACTGATACAGCCAACAATGGCCAGTTATGCTGAGTGAAAAAAAGCCAATCTCAAAAGGTTAGATTCTGTATGATTCCATTTATATAACATTCTTGAAATGACAGTGTTGTAGAAAAGGAGAACAGATTAGTGGGCCAGGGATTAAGGAGGGGATGGATTGGGAGGGTGTGAATGTGGCTGTAAAGGGGCAACATGAGGGATACTTGTGGTGGTGGAAATGTCCTGTATCTTGACTGTATCAATGTCAGTATCCTGGTTGTGATGTTGTACTACAGTTTTCAGGGTGTTACCATGGGCAGAAACTGGGTAAAGGATTTGCAGGATCTCTCTGTATTATTTCTTACAACTGCATCTGAATCTACTATTAGATCAAAATAAAAGTTTATTTTTAAAAGTCTTCAACCATGATTTCTGGTATGCTAATCATACAAGGTTATAAATATTTTCTTCTTTTTAATAAGATGGTGTCCAGAAGAAGAGATCCAGGGAGTTTTTAAAGAAACTATTAAAAACATTGGAGACATTAAGTGTTCTTCAAAAACATTGGGAGGTTTAGTAAAATATGGTTGATTGATTTTAGTATTTCCAACTACAAAGTATGACCACTGTGTGCCAGACTCTTGATTAAAACATTTATAAACCTTCTCTAGTTTAATCCTGATGTGTATTTACAACACACTGTTTCTATTTTACAGATTTATAAACCATATGTTCTTCATACATTGCCAAAGTCACACAGTTATCATAACAAGTCACAGACATAGCAGGTCACAAGAAAAGCAGGTTTTACCTTTTAAGAATGTGTCCTCTACTCTTTAAATTATCTATAGCAGATTCGATGTTCAAACCATGGCTGGATCACCATCCTTCAGGGATGCTCTAATTAAGGTTCTGTATTTTACAGGAAGTTTCACTGCACCAGGGGGGATCGTGCTCCCAGGGGACATTTAGCAATGTCTGGGTATATTTTTGGTTGTCACAACTGGGGGGTGGTTGTGTGCTACTGGCATCTAATGGGTAGAGGCTAGTTTTACATCTCACAATGCACAAGACAGCCCCCCTCCAAGAAAAAATTGTCTGTCTCAAAATGTTAGTATTGTCCATAGTAAGTGATACACTTATTAGATCCTTTGAGGACTTCAGAACCAGTGGTTACCCATATAAGGTTCCCATTTAATTTTATCTGACTCATTGATTGAAGTTAATGTTATTCACTTGCTGTAACTTTTTTCATTGGTAACACTGCTGGCTTTTCTCCTGCCAGCAAACGCTTGATTATAGTGAGTGAATTAGACAGAGTGATTGTTTTCTCTCATTGTTTTTTATTAATAGACTGCAGCAGAAGTTGGAATAATTGAGAGTATTCAGCTAAGAAATTTCATGTGTCATTCGATGCTTGGACCCTTTAAATTTGGTTCTAATGTCAACTTTGTTGTTGGCAACAATGGAAGTAAGTGCTTTTGCCCTCCTTATTTGACTTTGAGCAGTACTTTGAGATTAGAATGCATTAACTTTTTAAAATAGGTGACTATTAGTGCTGATAAATCTAAGTTTTAGATCTATAACTTGTGGTCATGAATATTTTTAGTATTTGCTGCCAGTCTACACTTTAAGAAAATAATGAGTTAACTCTGGGTTCATTATTTATGCAATGGGGACAAACATTTCTTGCTTATTCTTTTGAATCCATTTACCGTGGAATTCATACCACAGAAGAGCGGACAAGCTGTCCGCGTTGTGATTGAGGAGCCCTGTGTCTTACATCCATTAAATGTTGTAATAGAGCAAAAATAAAGTGTCAGGGTAATCCAAACGTGAAAGAAGCTAATTCTCACTGTTGTGGCCAATGAAAGCCTTTAGAAGAAGTGGTATTTGTGTGATACTTGAATGAAAATTTTAGATTCTTTAGGTCTTCTTGGAGAAGCAGCAGCTGAGATGTTCCAGGCAAAGATTGTTCATCAGCAGAGGTTTGAGGGGAGAAGTAGATGTGTGTGGAGGGTGGTGAACAACTTTACATGGCTTTATCTTTTCGTACATGGTAGGGAGGGGCAGAAGCCGACGCTGGAGAGTCATGTTGTGGGTGATGTTGTTCAGGATCTTGAATGCCATGATAAAGATTTTGGGGTTTTATTCAGAAGTCAGAGGGGAACCCATTAAAGTTTTTGAGTAAATGGATGACATGGTCGAGATTTGTGAAACGGACTGGCAGCATAGTGAGAATGGATTAGAAGGGGGAAGACAGGCGTTAGAAAGACCCATTAGGCAGCTTTTGTGATGGAGGAGCCGGCGAGAGGTGCTGACAACTTGACTGAGCCAGTACACTGGGAGAGGAGGCTTGCCATAGTCTACAACTCGTGACTGCGCTAGAACGTGAAACTCGGTGCGTGGAGCTCCACAGTCTGTTTAGTTGTTGTTCTTTGTTTTCCCTGCTCTATATTCAGTCAAATGGAAAGTGTTTTCAGGAGGAGAGAGTGGGCAAAGGGATCAGGGCTACAGGGAGGTCACACGGGACAAGAAGTAAAGAATGGTGACTTTTGCAGTTGGGTCTTTGCTTTTTTCTTTTTTAACTTTTGAAATGGTGATTTGATTATTAAAACTTAAGAAGGTATAATACAAGTAGTAGAGGCAGGGAATTTGGAAATTAAGGAAGAGGAGAGAGGATAGGACTTGAAAGGCATTTCAAGAACTAAATTGCGTTAACCAGTGGTGTTTTTTGGTTAATTTGGGGTATATCGTGGAAGATGATGGGCTGATAAGAGTTGATTGAATTGGTTGATTGTGGAGTTCAGAAAATAGTTACCATATTCTGGGTAATTGTTAAAGACTTAGGAATTTCAGCTTGTGATATTTATGTCTGTTAGGGTAAAAAGAAGTACAGTTTTCAAAGAGCTAGCAAATGAATATTCAAATTAGGAATAATAATTGTCAAAATGTTACGTAAAAACATCTATCTATATGACTGCTAATTTTTTCATATTTAAGTTCATTTATTTATTCAGCAAATATGTGAGTGCCTATTATGGGCTAATATTGGAGACACAGCATTGAATAAAACAGACAACACTCCCGTCCCTATGGGGCTTGCACTCAAGGGTTGTTAAAAACAGTTTCTGACTTCTGAGAATTTATGGAAAAAGTAAATTGTAATTAAATTAGAATGTAATAAAAATTAGATTAATTAAGTATATATGTGTAATTAGATAAGTTTATTTAATAGGCTGATGGGCTAAGATGATGCAATGAGAGTTTTAGGTTGGAAAGATACCAACCATTTTTTCCGTTTCCTTATTAGTGGCAAAACTTGATTCCTGAAATATATTAATTTTTTTCTAATAGCAGCTTTATTTTTAAGTTTGCTGCTTTGGCACTGGAAGAAAATTATAATTGAAATATGACACTTTGTTTCAGGGTTAGACTAATTCACATTTTCATTCAAAAATCTTTTTACATCAAATTACAGGAGTTAGCCTTTTCTTTTCTCTCTCTAATGATTGTGATTTCTTTAACACCTGTTTCTTTAGGTGGAAAGAGTGCAGTACTCACAGCTCTCATAGTTGGCCTTGGTGGAAAAGCAGTCGCTACTAATAGAGGATCTTCTTTAAAAGGTTTTGTGAAAGATGGACAGAAGTAAGTGTTTGCTTTCTACGTGTGTTTTTCAGTTCTTTAGTAAGAAGCAGCTACTTAGATTCCCAATTCGTGAGACATTATAGGAAATGAACTGACTTCCCAGCACTGGAGCAGAGTATTGTATCTTTTCATTCCTTTCTCTTGCCCCAGCATGGACCACTGTTGCCTGTTATCCTTTCCAGACAGAGAGCTTGTGTCAATTATTGCCGTATGCCTGCCCACTTACACTCTTATTTCTATTACCTTTCTGAAAGAACAAGCAGTGATACATCTGTGTACTTCTGTTTAAAGGAATATTTACAAACACTGGACTTTCCTGGCCCTTAACCCAAACCCAGCTTCTGCAAGTCCATGTTGATATGACACAGGTGAAAGCAGAGTCAGGGGCCAGCCAAGACGTCCCTGCACCAAATTTCTGCCTCCAGCTCTTTAAGACTTCAAAAAAAGTTTTCCACTCTCTGTCTGTGATTTTATATCCTTTACCTAGGTGGTTCGTCACTGAGTTTGATTTGAGGACCACAATCACAAGTCTATTTGTGGTCCATCTTGACCTTCAGTGAATGGTCATATAGCAACGCTCTTTGGCTTTATGTTTACATTTCTTTTTGTCATAGCTTGCCTTCACCTAAGTATATATTAATTGCCCAGTTTGCATCATTGTAGACTCATGGTCTTTTGACTATTAGGAGCTCTCTTCAGGCTGATTTCCTTATTCTTTTTAATACTGCCTCGGATAACTGTGAAGGGACCCTTGTTTCTCTTAACAACTGGATGTCCCAAATTCTGTCAGACTAGCTCCCAGAGTGAGGCTACTCCCACTGTGCATTCCTCTCTCATATGCCCAATGCCCAGAGCTTTGATAATTAACTGTGATATCTTTTTTTTATCATATAATAGACTTTCCTTCTACTCAGTGTTATATCCATTTAACTTCTCTCATTTTTTTAAATCTTTTTCTTTTTGTTTTGTGAGGAAGATTACCCCTGAGCTAACATCTGTTGCCAATCCTCCTCTTTTTGGTGAGGAAGATTGGCCCTGAGCCAACATCTGTGCCCATCTTCCTCTATTTTTTGTATGGGGGACGCCTGCCACAGTATGGCTTGATGAGCAGTGCCTAGGTCTGCACCTGGGATCTGAACCCATGAACCCCAGGCTGCCGAAACGGAGCACATGAACTTAACCACTACGCCACCAGGCCGGTCCCTAACTTCTCCCATTTTATTACTAAAAAATAGACCTGGGATGAGATGTGAGTGAGGTATGTACGTTCCTTGTGTGTCTTTCAGAAACCCTAGGAATCTTAATCCTAATTAGGCTAGGGTTCCAAGTTGACTCAGGAGAAGGAAGGAAAAGATACACAGAAAATCATTTCCCATGCTATACGGCCTTGGAAAAGAACTATTTGATAACAGTTCTCCAGCATATTTTCTGTCTCTACTTATCTTATTTGGGCCTCAGCCTAGCAAGGTCTTCTCCCCCACAGTCTCCAAACAAAATTATGTCTGAAGTCAAAAATTAGTTAATTTAACCTTTTTAAGTTAATGGTCCCAACTCTGTTTCAATTCATTATACTTAACTATACATTTCTTAGTTGTCCAAACAATCACCTAGTCTACCTAGCCAGATAACACATTGATCTTTCAAATAGAAGCTTTGGGAAGAAATTATTTTTTCTTTACCAATAAATGTTTTATGTCTCAGTTAAATATTTTTTATTTTTTCCATTTGGGAAGTACCTAGGCCAAAGCAGAAACTTCTTTCTGAGACTTATCCTCGAAATACCATTAAAGAAAAGAAAACAAGAAAGAAAAAGGCTAGTGTACACAAATCATCAACTTTCAAGGACAGAGTTGCCTGTAGATAGGAACATTAATATATTTTACACAGTTAATAACTGAAAAGCTTTAACCTGAGCCCAGTCTCCTTTTTACTGACCTTGAATGAAAAAGTAGCTAAAAACAGCTTTTCCAAACCCATTCCTCTTGTCATCTCCTTCCTCATTTAAAACATTTGCTATCTATAAAATTCTCCTTACTTTAGAGTCTCTGTTTCTGTCATCACTTTTTTACAGAATCAATTCATTAAGTTTTTCAGTTCTATTCTGAGTCCCTTCTGCATCTACAATGTATGTGGCTATCCCACTTTGCCTGAAGAATGTTTGTCAGTCTGGCCCAGGTTTGAGGTAGTCTTAAGGACTCTCTCCTTCCCCTTTGTCAGACATTACACTCCCCATTTGTGACACCTGGGCTTTGGGCTGCCTTTGTGGGGTTTCCACTCTCCTTAGAGATGCTTGCCTAACATGGTTAGGGGGAGCCGAGAACTGTGCCTTGAGACACTTTACTTGATACGGGGGCAGTGAATGAATTCTCCTAATGGATCTCCTCCTGTGAAAACCTCTCAGTGACGCAAGTTCTCATGCCCCTAGCCATTCAGGTTCTTCTTGCACATGTTCAGTTCACAGTTCCCTCTCTCAGCCTTCCTAATACTAGCCCTGGTGGCGTCGGGGTCTTTGCGCCAGTCCTGTTTTTAACATCAGCTGGGCATTGGGAGTGGGTAATGGAGGAAAGAAAACTCATAGTGCTGCTGTCCATTCCTGATTTATTTAGTCCGGGTTATAGAACTTACTGCAGGTGAACTGGCTACTCAGAGAAGGAGTAGGTGCATAGGTGCATCATATTTTTACGTGGCTCTTCCCTTGTTTCTCGTTTCTATCAGTGTGTGCTGCTGCCAGTTATCTCTGTGCAGATAGGTTCTTCCAGAGTTGAGAAAGAAGCCAAATTGTTCCTGTGGCACTGCTTGTTTATGCTGTCATTCTGAAAGAGCTCTCACTGATGGTCTCTCTTTTCACTTAAGGGTCTTCTGTGTTTACAGATGTTGGACTCTATGGCTCTTGACCCAAGTTTAGCATCAGCCGCATCAATATGGTGGGGACACAGCAGTAGTGCCCAGCTCACTTTTCCCTGTCTCCTTGTACAGGTTTTTTGAGTAGTTATTATGAGGCTTTTTTCTTAAGGCTTAATTTTTCGAATAACTTGCCTTTCTGATATTTATTAAATTCATATAGCAACAGGATACCTCCTGTTGGTGCCTGCAAAGTTCTCACAATACTAAAGATAGCTTTCAAATGCAAGGAGTAGCTAGGAATGAAAATAATAAAGTGGATGTTTGCTAATGAAGGGAGAGATTTGATAATTCAGAGAGCAAATATTTGTAGTCATTTTATTTTTAAAATGTTTTCATGACGTACATTCACTTAATACTAGGTAATCACACTAGTTAATAAAGTAAATTATTTTTTGCTCCGTATTGTAAGCCAGCTGCCCTTCCCCATCATACTTTAGTTTACGGTTTTCAGCCTTGACTGTTAATTGGAATCAGCTCGGGGAGCTTTTAAAAATCCCACTAATTATAACTTTTCAGATGCATATCTGTCTTAATTAGATATTTCTGACTAAAACACACACACACACACCCACCCCCCAACCCACTCAGGGTAGCTTTATTATTTTTTATTTTTTATTTTTTTGTGAGGAAGACCAGCCCTGAGCTAGAGCTAACATCCATGCTAATCCTCCTCTTTTTGCTGAGGAAGACTGGCCCTGGGCTAACATCTGTGCGCATCTTCCTCCACTTTATATGGGACACTGCCACAGCATGGCTTGATAAGCAGTGCATCAGTGCACGCCTGGGATCCGAGCCCAGGCCACCAGCAGTGGAGTGCGTGCACTCAACCGCTGTGCCATGGGGCCAGCCCCTCAGGGTGGCTTTAGAAAAGGAGATTTATCTTAAAGATGCTGGGATATATATCTCAGAAGCCGCGAGGAGGAGGTACACTTGGGTCTCATGAGCGACCAGAACTGAGAGATCTCAGAACCAAGCATTTTCTGTTTCTGGGTCTCTCTTTTTTGCGTCTCTGACTTTCTGTGTGTGTCTTTGTGTGTAGGCCTCTTTCTCCCTCTTCCTTCCTTCAGTCCGTGCTGCAACTCTTCCTCTACACCACCTCCCGCCCCTCCTTACATAATGGGCTGTACTTATGTGTTGTGCGCTCCTCCCTCCCTCTCTCCTATTGACCAGTGTGCAGGTGTGTGAATGTGTTTCTCTCTCATTGTCTCTGGGGTATGCATGCTCTTGCTTATTATTTAGCCAGGTGTTTTTGTGTGTGTGTGTGTGAGGAGATCAGCCCTGTGCTAATATCTGCCAATCCTCCTCTTTTTTTGCTGAGGAAGACTTGCCCTGGGCTAACATCCGTGCCCATCTTGCTCCCCTTTATATGGGACGCCGCCACAGCATGGCTTGCCAGGCAGTGCGTCGGTGCGCGCCCAGGATCTGAACTGGTGAACCCCAGCCCGCCACAGCGGAGCGCGCACACTTAACCGCTTGCGCCACCATAGCCAGGTGTTTTTTACTCTAGGTCTTTGTGTATGCAGGCATTTGTCTTACTGTCTTAGTCTGTGGGGCTGTGTGTGTAAGGAAGTGCTCTTGTGTTCTCTTTGTCTCTGATTCACTGCCAGTATCTGTGGATGTGTGTCTCTGTCAGTCTGTCTCAGAGGGTTCCCGAGAGCTTCTCTGTTCTATGCTGCTTCTCTCTGTAGTCTCTGCAGACTTTCTTCTTGCTTATCAGAGTATAATGCCCCAAGTTGGTTTCTCTAGCCCCAGAGGCCTCATAACTTTGGAGCTCCAAGGAATCACTGTTTTTCCACCTGGTTGTGTCTTAATTTGGGTTTATTTTAAAAACTTTTCATTTTGAAGTAATTTTAGATTTACAAAAGTGTTGCAAAGATAGTACAGTTTCCTTCACACCCTTCGCTCAATTTCCATTAATGTTGACATCTTAAATAACTAAGGTATTTTATCAAAGCTATGCAATTAACATTGCTATGATATTATTAATTAAACTACAGACCTTATTTGGATTTTACCAGTTTTTCTTAATTTGAATTTTTAAAGAAGAGCATTTGGCTCAGTTAGTGTCAGATTTCTATATTTAGCTCAATCCCTGGAGGACAGGATGGGGACCGACGTGGCTGCTGAGCCCTCTCTTTCTGTCAGGGTACTTGCAAAGAAGAGAGTGGGGAGCAAAAGCTGAGCAAACCATTCAGTGTGTCTCCTGTAATATCAGTTTACAGTGAAGTTCATTTTGAGTATTTTTTTCCTACATTTCCTGCAATGGGAACTATTTTGTAGTATGATTACAAATTCACAAAAACAAGTTTGTTCCTTTTTTTTTTTTCCCCTTTTTTCTCCCCAAAGCCCCAGTACATAGTTGTATGTCATAGTTGCACATCCTTCTAGTTGCTGTATGTGGGACGCGGCCTCAGCATGGCCGGAGAAGCAGTGCATCTGTGCGCGCCCGGGATCTGAACCCGGGCTGCCAGCAGTGGAGCGCGTGCACTTAACTGCTAAGCCATGGGGCCGGCCCCAACAAGTTTGTTCTATTAAAGATTTCATTAAATTACCAAGTAAAGCAATTTTGCTTTCGAGAACTTTGGCATTTTGGCAGATATGAACCAGAAAAAGTGTTGTCTGCTTTTATGTTTAAGGAAATTATAAATATGTATTCATTAATGTACTCATTAACATTTTTGTTTGTTTTTCTCCCAATCTTATTTTAACACACTTAGAGTAGAAAAATAAATATTGATTGATTTTTTTTTTTTCCCTTTCTATAATATGTTAAAATATGCTCGGTTATAAATGCTTTAAACTTCTTTAAAACTTTAAAAATAATTCTTTTGTAATACCAGTAAACTTTAAGAAATTTTGAGCTTTAGTTTACATTTCTTGATATCAAATACTCTGATTTTTTTATTGCTAAGTAATTTGAAAATTAAGCTTGTTTCCTTTGATTCTAATCCTCTTACAAAATGTTATTACTTCACCATCATTCTTACTTCATCAGTCTTAAAGGCCTACTGTCAGCATGATGCTTTATTATGTAATTTAGAGTAGGCAGTATAATGTTGGTTTCACATTGCTTATAGGAGAATGTAGAACCTATCTACATGATTTGAAACGACCAAAACTTACATCATTTTTGTGCAAATGTTGTATTTCTATTATGGATAGAATAGTCAATTACTTTTTATAGAACATCTCTTATTGTCAACTTTATTTTTTTTTGTTAAGCTTGATATCTTTAACATTATTCTATAGTAGCCAGTCCGCCATCAACTACTGGTATAAAGCTACTTTTCAAATGAATTAGCGAAATTACTTGGGGGTTTTTAAAATTATAATAACCTAATATTGTAATTGCACTGTACCTTCATGTGACTTAACTTTGTTGCTTTAGCTCAGCAGATATCTCAATAACGTTAAGGAACAGAGGAGATGATGCCTATAAAGCAAATGTGTACGGTAACTCTATAATTGTGCAACAACACATCAGCATGGATGGAAGTCGATCTTATAAACTAAAAAGTGAAGCAGGTTTGTTATGAATTTCTTTTCATTTCATATAAAATATTAGTAAATATCCAATTAAAAAAGAGTTAAGTGATTGTGCTATTATTCATTAAAAGGGCACTTCTTCCCAGTCTCTTGACACCTCTTTCTTGTTAGATGATTGGTTGGTTGCATGTATATATTCATACACATGTGTATGTACATGTGTATATTACACATAGTTGTTTTAGCACAAGACATTTACAGAAAAACCATGATTAGCAGGATTTGGGCTATGCCATTTTGTTCTCACCTGCAGACCTTCTTTCACCTCTTTTGGTTTCTGTTGCATGTGGAAGGAGATGGTTAGCAAAAGGGAAAGGACATAAAGGAAGAGGAGGTGAGTGGTAGGGGTTACTAAAGAGCTAGATGAGGAGGAAAAGAAAACGTTTAGCTGTGAGAAGAGTAGCACTATCCCTGCATCTGGTGCTTCTTCCTCCTCTGTCCTTGTGTCATGATTAGTGTGTCACCCCAGTTCATTCAGACATGTGTATATTCAATGGTACCTTTCTTGATGACATAATGAAAAGTAATCAATATTTGTATTTGTAAATAATTGCTCATGTTTTTTCTGTATTATTGCCCTAGAAACAATCTGATCATTTTACGTTTATCATAACTAGGCACTGTGGTTTCCACTAGGAAAGAAGAGCTGATTGCAATTCTTGATCATTTTAACATACAGGTAATTGCTAAATTTGTGTTTCACATTAATTCATGCAACTGATTACTTTTTTTGTGATTTCACTTGTGGTGTAGAAAGAATTAAAATGGCCTCAGATAAGTAAATTGACCACAGGAAGAACATGTATAATTATCATAAGGAGAATTTCTTAAAATTTACTAATTCACCAGGAGTTTTCAGTATATAATACCTTCAATTTGATAGCTCAGTTAAGAACATCTAGTTTATACCGATATGTGCTAAAATTTATGTTAATATGGCTGTAAAGTTTCTTTGCTTTCTGCTGTCCTAATCAGAATAGCATCATAGTTCCCTAAACTCAGTTGCTAAATTCTTGTAGAAAGGAAATTTATTCTAGAAAGATAAAGCATTTCTTCATGTATTTTGGAGTTAGTGATCACACCTGTGGTAGACAAGGCTTGAGTTCTTTCTGCTAAGATATTTTGACCGAATATTGGGTATAGGGCACGTATAATCCTGTAACATTAGCACTGGAATTGTCTTTAGAGATCATCTAATCCAGACTCTTTATTTTACAGGTGAGAAACTGGGAGCTAGAAAAAGTAAATTTGTACTTATGGTTGTCTAGGTGTGGTTACTGGTAGAGCCTGGGTTGGGACCCAGGACTCCCTGTTTCATTCTAATGGTCTGTCCATTGTACCACCCTGCCTTATTCCAGGATTGAGGATGCTAAGACTAGTCACCAGGGGAAAAGAATTATGAGTCTAGGTCTCTTTCCCAGTTTGGTTTAGAACAGAGCTCTCCAGAAAAACTCTCTGTGATGCTAGAGATATTCTGTAGTATGCTGTCTGATTGGGTAGCCACCAGCCTTGTGTGGCGCATGTGACTGAGAAATTGCATGTTTTACTTTATTTAATTTTACTTAACTGAAGTGTAAAAAGCCACATGTGGCTAGTGGCTTGCATATAAGGCGACAGAGGTTTAGAAAAAGAATTATTAAAATCTGGAGAAAAGCAGATACAACAAATAAATTTGAGACTAGAACACAGGGAAATTTGTTAAGCAAAATCTGAAAAACCAAAAGTTAGAGTTTACAGAATCATAGGTGTTGGGAGAATCTTGAAGGGCATCTAGTATAGTTACCACCCTCCATCCTTACCCTGTGTGGAATCTCCACGAGGTATTTCTTCAGTGGATGCTTGAGTGGATAGAGGTGGAGAAATCATCTCTGCTTGAGGCCTCTGATTCCTTCTGTGGACACGTGTATTTATTAGAAGGTTTTTATTATGTGGAAAGGTGAATAAAACCTGTTTCTCTAAGCTCCCATTTCCTTGGAGAATGTAAAATATGTTTATAATCTTTTGAAATATTTGAAGATTGTTATCCTAGCTCCTTTAAGTCCTTTTCCTGCATGATTCAGTTAACTAAAGTTTCAGGTTCATTGATCAAAATACAGGTCTAGAGCTGCACTTAATTGTACCGTAGCAACTAGCTGCAAGTGGATATGGAGCACTTGAAATATGGGTAATCTGAGTTGAGATGTACAGTAGTGTGAAACACACATCAGATTTTGAAGATATAATGCAAAGGAATAACTCAATTTCTTATATTTATTATATGTGAAAATGATAATATTTTAGATAAATTAGACTAAAACATATTATTAAAATTAATTTTACCTGTTTCTTTTTACATTTTTAATGTAGCTACCATAAGATTTAAAACTGTATGTGTGGCTTGCATATAATTTTACAACTGTCATTGGACAGTGCTGGTCTAGAATAACCAGGAGGGAGGAGAGTATTTAATGTCTTTAAGTACCTGATTATGTTTGTCCCTATGCCTGCCCTTCTTATCCCTTCTCTGAAGTTGAACCTCTTTGTGCTTGCCCCAGGGTTTTGGCAGGTAAAGCTGCAAGATTGTTAACTAATCGCTAGAGTAAGGTAGGAACTAGGAACCCCATTTCAGAAACATTCAAAAGGACGTAGAGAAAAGAATATAAACTTTGGTGAAGCTATTAATCCAAAGTTGGTGTTAAAATGCCTGTATTAAAGCTAGTGCATTAGGTCTCAACTTCTAAGAAGTCAGATGCAGTGTGAAATTAAGGTATAGGGCAGGCCTTGTGAAAAATATGTGGCAGTCAGAGTGTGGTTTACCTATATAAAAAGAAAAATGTGATATGTAGAGGTTTCTTTATAACTACATGAATGTTTTTTATCTTAGAAGAAAAGACCCAAAATTTTTCCTTTTAAGGAATGTTTTAAGCATTGGCATACTAACAAAGTACAGTCACTATTTTATAGATGGTAAAATGAAGGTGTTTAAAATTTTTTTCATTTATACTGATCGTACATATTCTATAACTTAGGAACAGGATTATTTTTTAACATATAAATTACTTTGTTATTAACAGCAAAAATATAATGGAGTAACAATCCTGAATCTTTTTGAAACAAGTTGTCCTTTTTAAAGAAACTTTTTTGGGGCCAGCCCCATGGCGTCTGGTGTACTCTGCTTGGGCAGCGTGGGTTCACAGGTTCAGATCCCAGGCATGGATCTATACCACTCATCGAGCCATGCTGTGGTGGCATCCCACATACAAAACAGAAGAAGATAGGCACAGATGTTAGCTCAGGGCTAATCTTCCTCAAGCCAAAAAAGAGGAAGATTGGCAACAGATGTTAGCTCAGAGCGAGTCTTCCTCACCAAAAAAAAAAAAACAAACCTTTCAACTGTACTTTTAACTGTTGCTGTCCTTTACTGTTACATTAACTGTACTTTTAACTTGTTAACCAAAGGTAGTTTAATTCAAGCACTGGCTTATTTAAAATGATTCTCACTCCAAAAGATAGAAATGACTCCAGTATTTCCATTTGTTTTACAATATCCTCATGAAGAAATAATGACAAATGGGAAATCTGAAGAACTGCTGTAAGGAAAATAAATGATACTTGTCATCATAACTGTGATTAGAAATAACCGCTTTGGACTTTTTGTATTCAGTTGGAGAAAGTAACTAAATTGCCTAAGGTTACATAGGAGGTTAGAGACAGAGCCTAAGTAAGAACCCAAGTCAGCTGCTCCCATGGTAGGGCTTTTCCGACTCTCTTGTCTAATGGTTAACCAGCAGCCAAGGAGTGATAATCTATAAAAAACATTCTAATAAAAACACTTCTTCAGAGTTCTTGTGCTTGTGCCCTCATGTAATGGCAGAATATTTAATTTTGACTGTGGTATTCATTATAGTACCATGAAATTTTGAAATATTTTCTCTGCATTAAAAATTTCTAACCCTTTCTCTTTGTATATTTACCCTAATGCTCTAACCTTTGCTAGTACTTAGGCTTCTTGATGGCACCATACATCGATTGTAATGTATATTTCAGTTCATTTATTTTTAAGGGACATTGAAGTAAAATATTCAAGAATAATCATTTTTTGTTTGTTTCAGGTGGATAATCCGGTTTCTGTTTTAACCCAAGAGATGAGCAAGCAGTTCTTACAGTCTAAAAATGAGGGAGACAAATACAAAGTAAGAAGCACCAAAGTAAATATAAACCTAACAAAAAAGAATACATTGATTGATTAAACATATATGCCGAACATTACTCTCGCTCACATAATCAATATTGAATATTTTTTAAGCCACTATTTAAAGTAATATTGTAGGTCTAATTTGGGGCAGTGTTAAGTAAAATGGGACTATAATTTTCTTATAAATCCTGCTTCAACTTTTTGGCTTTTAATTCTGAGAGAAAATGGATTATTATTTTATAAAATTAGTCTTTAAGGAAATACCAGGAAACAAGTGGCCATACATACGTAATAACTTTTAATCCTTAAATTATTTAGAATTTAAAAAACTAACAAAATATTTGACTACTACTAAAACTTACAGTGTAACTTTTGAATGGGTTTTTGAATTTCTAATTCTAAGAATTTAAGATCTGCTAAGATCAAGGATAGAAATTTATTTTCTGTTTTCATTTTTGCTTAAAGAATGGAAGAACAGTGAAAATGAGCCTTCAAATTGTATTACTATCACACCAAAAGTGTTTTCTTTCATGGGGTTTTAAGAGTTTTTGCAAATGAACATCTAGATGTTAGCATAGCAAGTTAAGTAAATTTTAGGTCTAAAATAAGCCATGTTTTTTGTGTTTACATATACTTGCTAAAGGATGTTTTTAATGTCTCTTTACATAATTGATCCAAAAGTTTTTTAGAGTTAAGTAAATTTTAGGTTTAAAATAAGCCGTGTTCTTTGTGTTTATATGTACTTGCTTAAGGATGTTTTTAATGTCTCTTTACATAATTGATCTAAAAGTTTTTTGGAGACCAAATTCTTTTTTTCACAGTTCCATGGAAGTGATCCATGGAAGATTTCCATGGAAATCTCCTAATTGTGTTTTTCTTGTTGTTGATATAGTTCTTCATGAAAGCAACCCAACTTGAACAGATGAAGGAAGATTATTCATACATTATGGAAACAAAAGAAAGAACAAAGGAGCAGATAAATCAAGGAGAAGAGGTTTGTAAACACTTAATGTAAATATCTTTGAAATCAGTCAAATTCCTATAGTACTTATAAGGTAAATGGTATTATAAAATTATATATATGTATATATCTATATATATATATATTTAAAACTAAGAACATTTTTATAGCACTCTGTGAAATATATGAAGTGTGGTTTTTATATTCAGGGTATTTATTAGCCTTTACTTTTTTGTTTTGTAATAATGGCTATGTACACATATTACTTTCTCTCTTAGACTATAAACTGGAGGACAGGACAGTATCTAACATACTTATCCCTTGATACATGACTAATTGGTTCCACCGTAAGGTATTACTAATTCCCACTATAAGTAGTTTAAAAACTAGGTTACTAGCAGTGGAGGGTGGAACAAGGCAGGGGTGGTGGGAAGGATATAGTTGTTAAGGAAGTGATGTCTAAGGTGAGAACTGAAGGATGAATAACACCAGGCAAGGGATGGTGAGAGGAAGGGTTTTCCAAGAAATAAGCATGGTTGGAATCTCAGCCAAGAGAGCATGTGGTGCTTTTAAAAAGCTGAAAGAATTTCAGATTAGCTAGAGTGAAGAACACAAGAGTGAGAGATGAGAGGCCAGTTTGTGGAGGACCTTGTAAAACTTCAGGGCAGTAGGACACGTGAAAGTGGATGACTTGATTAAATGTATGTTTTCAATAGATTGCTCTGCTGTAGAAGAGAGTGAATTGCTATAAAGAAAGAACAAATGTAGAGAGATCAATAAAGAAGGTATTAGCATTGTCCAAAGAGATGATGATGACATAAGTTAGGGTATTGGCAGTAGTAATGGAGAGAAAAGCTTTGAAATGCTTTGGGCAGATCTTATATGGGACATGGAAGGTAAAATTGAGACAGAAGAAACATCGTGGGTGACTGAATGGCCTCCAAATTGTATCTGCTGACTTGAGCAGTAGAGTAAGTTTATTAAGATGGGAAACTTGGGAAGAGGAGCCAGTTTTTCTTTTCTTCCTTTTTTTTTCCTTCTAAGAAAGGTGATGCATTCTGTTTTGAACACGTTAATTTTGAAGTGCTTATAAAGCATCCAAGTTGAAATGTAAAGTGAGAAGTTGGGTGTATGAGTTAGGCATACAGAAGTCAAGTCTGGCCTCAGTAAAAATTTAGGAGTCATCGTACAAGGTTAGTATCTAAGCCACAGGAATGACTTAGGTTGCTGAGGAGGAGAGGAAAGTAAGCCCAGGCCTGAGGTATGAGATAATGCTCACAGAAGCCATAGAAGCCACGGGAAGAGAGAATTGAGAAGGAAGTAGTCAGGACTGTGAGATGTACCGAGTGAGCAAACACCACAAGAATTGACAGATATTCCCTGTATTTAGTGGCATACTCTTCATGGATGTCAATGGCAAGGCAAATTTCAGTAGTGGTGAAAACAAAAGCCAGATTTGTGGGGCTGAAAATGTGAGAAAATGGAAGAGAGAGAATTTTCATGAAACTTGGATGGAAAAGAAAGAAGACTTTCAGAGGAGGAGGTAGTACCCAGGGATGGATGGTGGTGGTTTTGTTTGTAAGTGGGAAAGATAAGTGAGTAAAGATTTAAACATGATAATGGAAAGGAGTCAGTGAAGAGGGTAAAGTGGAAGAAAAGATGAAAAGATAGAATGACAAATCAACTAATTTAGACCTCTAGAGAACACAGGATGGGGTGGTAGGATCCAAAATATAAGTAGGAGATGGGGACTGGACTTAAGTGTAATGAAGCCACCTCTTCTTTTATAGCAGGAGGAAGAGATGACGACTTTAGATTTGTAGAGAAGGTTGTGAAAGTTGGAGGGAGTTTCTCTCTGATGGCTTCTGAATTCTCTGAAGTAGGAGACAGGGAGAATGAATGAGGGGTAAGGGTGGCAGGGTGTATGAGGTTTGAAGAGAGTGATAATGGATTGAAATAATCGTGGAGAATGGGAAAGTGACTGGGATAGGGAAACAGAGTAAGATCTACAGGGTAAGGCCTTAATTGAATATGGTAAGCATGAATGAAGAGGAGAGGCTGTCTGCCCAGGTGTACAGAATAAAAGGTCTAGGAGCCACTTCAGAAGCTGTTCTAATGTCATTATATTTAATATTTGTTTGATGATTTTATTTATTAATTATTGAGAGAACCTAGATAAGAAAAATAATATTTTATTTTTGGAAATAAATTCCTTCTGAGCCTTCCATTAACTTTGAAATGTTTACTGGGTATACTTTGCTCAGAACAGACCAGTCTGTCTATCAGTTGTGGAATCGAGAGAAAATGGGAAATTGAGTTTTGGGATTTGTCTATACTTGTGTGGTCTTGAACCTTTTATTCCTTTGCTCTTCTTTATATGAAGAGTATTTGGCCATTTTTATAGTGCAGAAAATAACAAAATTATTGCACCTAGTAAAAGTATACCAAAGTACCAAGAATATTTTTATTTCACCTTAATTAAAGAAGTCATTTCCTAGAAAATATTTTTTAGTACTTGTTTAGGCAATGTAGTCAAAAGAACTACATTTGCAAGAAGTCTTGTCTTTTCAATGTTAATAAGAAATATATCCTTTTTTCTTTTTTTAAGCGACTTACTGAGCTAAAGCGCCAGTGTTTGGAGAAAGAAGAACGTTTTCAAAGTATTGCTGGTCTAAGTACAATGAAGACTAATTTAGAATACTTGAAACATGAAATGGCTTGGGCAGTGGTAATTTTCACTTAATTACTTATTTACATATATTTGTAATATAGAGAATATATTTGGTTACAGTTAGTCTTATACATGATTTGCTATATAATTTCTTTTTAGGTCAATGAAATTGAAAAACAGTTGAATGCCATCAGAGATAATATCAGAATTGGAGAAGATCGTGCTGCTAGACTTGACAGGAAAATGGAAGAACAGCAGGTAATTATACTTTTTTTATATGGATTTAGTAGGTTGAATCATATGAGACTGTTGATATTAGATTAAGACCTACAAAAGTAGCAGTTTCAGCCTATATATTTATCTATATTTGAATTTATTACTCAAGTGAAGCCAACGTAAACTTCTGTTCAAGAACTATCATGGCAGCTTTCTTTTAAAAAGAGTATCATGGGGGGCCAGCCTGGTCGCGTAGCAGTTAAGTTTGCGCGCTCCGCTTCGGCGGCCAGGGGTTTGCAGATTCGGATCCCGGGCATGGACCAGCATACCGGTTGTCAAGCCATGCTATGGCGGCGTCCCATATAAAGTAGAGGAAGATGGGCATGGATGTTAGCTCAGGGCTAATCTTCCTCACAAAAAATAAATAAAATAAAATAAAATAAAAAGAGTATTGTGTTTCGATGTGATAGCCTGTCTGAGGCTAGAGATATAGAACTCTGAATTCATGCATGTGGACAATGGTACTTTGTTACTGACTAGAGATGCTAGAGCATAAAACTTTTACTCTTGGGTTCATTAAGGAGTAGAAACATAAAATGGCCTGAGGAATGAAGGGGTACTAGGATAATAGTCAATTAGAATAGCGTTAAAGCTAAGTATCATGAACTATAAGAATTCAGAACTGAAGACAATGCCCAGAGATTGCTAGTGGAACATTCAGGGAGCTGAGAGTTTTAGGGCCCAGAACCATGAGAGGATTTCATATATGTGGAACGCAGGTGGGATAAGTTGTTAGGTCTGTTAAGGTTAATTTCAACCTGAGATCTAAGAGCCCAGGTAGAAACTATGCTGTTTATCTAAGATTCAAGAAAGTCACAAGATTATTCCACATGAGCCTAGAGCCAGAGGTTGGTTGAGTGGTAAATGAAGGTAGTAACTTCCTTTTGCAGATTTCCATGTGGACCTTTTTACCATATGGCAGATCCACTCTTTGTACTTGCCTTTTCATTCTTTTTTTAAGAGCTTTATTGAGATATAATTCATATACCATATAATCCACTTGTTTAAAATGTACAGTTCAGTGATTTTTTCATATGTTCTCAAGGGTGTGCAGCCCCCACTGTGGAATTCCTCACGCTGTCGTGGCAGAAGTAGAACGCCTGGCCTTTCTTTATAGGAGCCCTGTGTACTCCGTGTGGCTGACTTACCTCTTAGTACTTAGTTCTACTTACCTTAGGAATTTTTGGCTCCCAAGCTTGATTGTAGTCTAGGACGTCATATTCTGTACCTTGCTTTTTCCTATATGCCCCCAAGATAAGCAGATATGTCTTTTTCTTTTTAAGGGTTGTAACTTTAATCTGTCAGAGGTAATAGATGAGTATGTAAAAATAACAGAAATGGTGAAGATAGTATATTTACTTAGTGGTCACTGGGCTGAGTGTCTTACTCCCCCTTCAGGTAATACCTGGAAGTTCAACCCCACCCACCTCTCTCACCCAAAATTTTCGTGTCTGAGAGGATATTCTGAAATTTATGCCAAATTCTTCTCAACCTCATTTTTTAGCTTGTTATAGGGGAAGACCTTACGTTAGTTTCCTTTTTAAATATTCCCCAACCTAAAAATGGAATCCAGTCTGAGTAATAGATGCTTACCTTTTTCTTCAGATGGGAAAAGGAGGATCTTGAGGCTGGGTGATGCTTAGCTCTGTAGGTGTTTGCTCCACTTAAGTTTTTGGACACTCTCTATAGTAAATGGTAAATTTCTGGAGGGTAAGGACTATCTTATTTTACATTTATATCCTTCTCACCATGTCTTACATAAAACCTTTCATATAGTATATGCTTGATTATTGATTGTAGAATGACTATTGAATGGAAGGTTTCTGAAAAAATAGTGTCTAAAGCAGACTTTATTTTTGTTATTTTATTCTATTTATTTTTTTATTGAGATAACATTGATTTATAACATTATATAAATTTCAGATATACATCATTATATTTCGACTTCTGTATATATTATATCGTGCTTACCACCAAGAGTCTACTTTCCATCTGTCACTGTACAAATGTCCCTCTTTACCCCTTTTATCTTCCCTCCACTACCTTCCCCTCTGGTAACCACCAATCTGTTCTCTGTATCTGTGTGTTTGTTGTTTTTTTATCTTCCACATATGAATGAAATCATACAATATTTGCCTTTCTCTGTCTGACTTATTTTGCTTAGCATAATACTCTCAAGGTCCATCCATGTTGTCACAAATGGCAAGATTTCATCTTTTTTATGACTATTATTCCATTGTGTATACTACATCTGTATTCATCCCTCCATGGGCACTTTGGTTGTTTCCAAGTCTTTGCTATTGTAAACAATGCTTCAGTGAACATGAGAGTGCATATATCTTGTCAAATTAGTGGTACTCTCATTGTCACCACTTGCACCTCTGGGGGTCACTGATGTCTTGTTGCTTCCGGTGTTGCTGTAGTTGTTGGCTTCCCCACTGGGCATAGAGGGATGGCTGACGCCTCCACTGTGTCTGGGATCACCTGGGTCAAAAGCTCTGTCACTGTGGTAGGGAGAAGGGGAGGGTGGGGAGAGAGTTGGGTTCGCCTCTACTGTTTCCTGTTACTTTGTGGCCACAGGTGCCGCTACAGTTGGGATGTGGGAGTCCTGTGTGCGCCACCGCTGCTGCACACTCTGGGCTGCAGCTGGGCCGGGATCTCGGGGCTCTGCCTCCACTGCTGCTTGGTTCCCTATGGCCGGAGTCACATCCGCGCCTCCTGCTGCTGCCCACCAGGTCTTCTGGGGCTGGGGTTGGCTGGCATAGGTGCTGTAGCCAGGGGTCCCGGGTCCTGGGTGCCACCTCTGCTGTTCCACCATTTTGCCTCCTCTATGTGCTGCAATCCACCCACCTTCGTATGTATCAATGTGTGGCTCTCTCTGGGGTCCTGGCGTGTTGGGCACTGTAGCCTTTTCTGGGTTATGGATATTTTACTCACTCTGGATTGAAGGGGAGAGACAAAGGGATCCTCTCATGCTGCAGACTTTAGACTTACGTTAACTTAATTTAAAACTGAAAATATATGAATTATGTCTAGTTATATAACACGTGGACCAACTTCAATTTTTATAAAAAACATACAGATTATACAATCCATGTTTTAATGATAAAACTTCATTACCGTTGTATGTAGTGCTTCCTAAATATCCTACATATTGACAATTCCCTAATCTTTTTTCTTTTTTAAATATTCATCAATGAAGTGATTCTTTTTTTTTTTTAATAATTTTTTTATTTATTTTTCTTCCCCCAAAGCCCCAGTAGATAGTTGTATGTCATAGCTGCACATCCTTCTAGTTGCTGCATGTGGGACGAGGCCCCAGCACGGCCAGAGAAGCGGTGCGTTGGTGGGTGACCGGGATCCGAACCCGGGCCGCCAGCAGCAGAGCGCGCGCACTCAACCGCCAAGCCACGGGGCTGGCCCAACAATTCCCTAATCTTTATTTCCTCTTCAAACTTGTATCCTGAGCACTTGATTCAAATACCTATCTTAACATCTTTACCTACATGTTCTAGACACTTCACACTTAGCATGCCTAGTTGAATAGTTGCGACAGAGACTGTGTAGCCAACAAAGCATGAAATATATACTCTAGCTGTTTCTAGAAAACGTTTGCTGATCCCTGATCTAAATAGTTCTTATATTTGTCCTTTCTAATCCATTCCTATTGTCAGTGCCCCATTTTGGTCCCTGATTATTTTTGTTCCACAATATTAACTTCTTACTGAAATCTTTACCTTTAGTTTTTTCCTCCACCCTGCCTTCCGTGTGCTTCCAAAGTGATTTAACGTATAGAGTTGATCATCTCTCGTCTCGCTGTGGTCTAGAGGGTTAAGTCGCGAGCTGACCTATGGAATTCAAAGTGATTTAACGTATAGAGTTGATCATCTCTCGTCTCCCTGTGGTCTAGAGGGTTAAGTCGCGAGCTGACCTATGGAATTCAAAGTGATTTAACGTATAGAGTTGATCATCTCTCGTCTCCCTGTGGTCTAGAGGGTTAAGTCGCGAGCTGACCTATGGAATTCAAAGTGATTTAACGTATAGAGTTGATCATCTCTCGTCTCCCTGTGGTCTAGAGGGTTAAGTCACGAGCTGATCTATGGAATTCAAAGCCCTTCTACCGCCTTCATCTCCTCTCCCACCACCACCCTTCAGCCTAAGCTCCAGAAGTGCTTTCATTACTAAAATAGGTATTAATGCCTTTCCACATGCTTTCCCATCTGCCCCCATACCTTTCCCCGGGTTTTCTCTTGGTACATTTTGATTAATCTTTCACATCTCAGCCCAAATGCTACTTCTACTTTGAAGACATTCCTGACTTTTTCTGGAAGACCTATGAGTTCTTTCTCTGTGTTTCCACGATTATAAATAAACATACCCTACTTAAACATTATTGTATACAAATTGTGTTATCAGTTTGTGTGTCTGTTTCTCAGCTAAATTGTGTTTATCTCCCTTTAACTATGTTACTTGAAGACAGTTATTACTGCATCTTTGTATCCCTAGAAGATAACACATTTATTGGATAACTAAATGTAGAATTAAAATTAATTTATATTTTAGTATTTTATATAAGTGCTTGCATAATGTCTTGAGTTTATTTAGTCAGAGCGAAATTAAGTTTATTATTGGGATGTGAACTATATATAGTTATTTTTTAATTTCTCTCTTTATTGAAGAAAAATAAAATATACTCCATCAATGTTGTTATTTTCTTAAAGGTCAGACTTAATGAAGCAGAAAAAAAATATAAGGATATTCAGGATAAACTAGAAAAGATTAGTCAAGAGACAAATGCGCGAGCACCAGAATGTCTGGCATTGAAAGCAGATGTTACTGCTAGGAAAAGGGCCTATAATGAAGCTGAGGTAAGAGAAATCTTCTAACCTGAATATTCAAAACTGCATATCAAATATAAGTACTGTTCATTTATTTTTAAAAGTACAGTTTTGTAATTGAGTTGAAATCTGTGTTGCTTTCAGACTTTCAAAACTGTAATGGTTTCATATGGCCATTTATGTACTTTATTTTAAATATATATTTCTGCATATATTTAGCTCTTGTTTTGAAGATTTGGCAAAAGTGCACTTGAATGGGATATTTGTTTTCTCATTTTACTAAAATGTGTCTAATTTTTTGTTAGGTTTTATATAACCGCTCCCTAAATGAGCATAGAGCATTAAGGAAAGATGATGAGCAGCTTTGCAAAAGAATTGAAGAATTGAAAAAAAGGTAAGACAGTTACTTTGCACTTGTTGTGATCACCTCATTTTGTAATAAAGTAATCTGGGTGAAATGGAGTGCTGTTGGCCCTCCGTATCCGCAGGTTCCACATCGACGGACGTGGAGGGCCAACAAAGGGACTTAGGTATCCACGGGCATCAGGGATGATTGTATTTTTGCTAAAGGAATTTTATCACATTGCTTTATGTTTTTTAAATGTCGTGTTTTTCATTTAACATTTTCCACTTTGGATTATTTACTGTTAGTACTGATCAATCTTTGGAACCTGAGCGATTGGAAAGGCAAAAAAAAATATCTTGGTTAAAAGAAAGAGTAAAGGCCTTACAGGATCAAGAATGTTCTGTCAGTCAAGACATGGAACAGTTTCAGCAAGCCATAGAAAAGGACAAAGAAGAACATACCAGAATTAAGTAAGTTTCATCATCCTTAAAATGATTTTTTTCAATTGAAAATCGTATAGTTTTGCTCTTTATATGAAGAGAGAAAACGTGGTATTTTTTGTTTCTTCTGCATTAATAAGGGATCTTTTAAAATCACTTTTCCAAGACTTGTCTTTTTTCTTTTTTTGTGAGGAAGATCAGCCCTGAGCTAACATCCATGCTAATCCTCCTCTTTGCTGAGGAAGACCGGCTCTGAGCTAACATCTATTGCCAATCCTCCTCTTTTTTTTTCCCCCAAAGCCCCAGTAGATAGTTGCACATCCTTCTAGTTGCTGTGTGTGGGACGCGGCCTCAGCATGGCTGGAGAAGTGGTGCGTCGGTGCGCGCCCGTGATCCGAACCCGGGCCGCCAGTGGCGGAGCGCGCGCACTCACCTGCTAAGCCACAGGGTCGGCCCTCAAGATTTTTGTTACACTCACATACAAAATAGGGGAAGATTGGCACAGATATTGGCTCAGGGCGAATCTTTCTCAGCAAAAAAAAAACCAAAAAAACGTATATTTTAGTTGTATATGTAATAAATAAATATATGATCTTCAAATTTTTTTAAATAATAAAGAAATACCTTGGGTAAAAGGTTAAAATCCTCCTTCACACTCCCCCTGACTCTTCCTCAAACTCCCTGGAAGTGACTACTACTTATGGTTTGCTGTGTATCCTTCCAGACTGTTTTCTATGTATTTACAATGAATAGTTATATAGTTCTATATTGTTTTTTTCTCACAATATTATATCACCAACATTTTCCTGTTAATTAAATATTATTTGAAAATAAAAAAAAAAAAAAAAAAAAGGATTTTTGTTACACTCGTAGAGTTGGACAATTTCTGGGATTCCTAGTCCTCATCGCTATTGCATCATTTTGTCATGCTGAGTTTTGAGTGCTTCTGACTGTTTTTCTCTAGTAACACAATTATTTTCAAATAAAGAAATCTGCTTTTAGTTTTTAGGGTAGCTGGGTCATTCACTGGTATGCAGGTGTTAGGGGAAAAGGCTGAATATTTCTGTGTAACTGTATCACATATTTGTTCTTTTTTTCCACTTTTATTTTTTAGGAGAGAAGAGTTAGATGTGAAGCAGACACTGAACTATAATCAGAGGCAACTGAAGGAATTGAAAGATAGTAAAACTGATCGACTGAAAAGATTTGGTCCTAACGTTCCAGCTCTTCTTGAAGCAATAGATGATGCTTATAGACGTGGGCATTTTACCTGTAAACCTGTGGGTCCTTTAGGTATTTGTCGTCATTTACTCAGGATGTAGTAAACATTAGAAATAGTATTTTTTTTTTCAGGAATGGGGTCTATTGAATCTAGTTTTAATTAAAACTATTTTCGGGCCGGCCCCGTGGCTTGGTGGTTAAGTGCGCGCGCTCTGATGCTGGTGGCCCGGGTTCGGATCCCGGGCGCGCACCGAGGCACCACTTCTCC